GAGCATTCAGTATACTACTAGCAGGTTACAGTGCTTATAGAGAACACAATAACATTTAATGCCCAGTGATGGGGAGTATTATTTTAAAGTCTGTGACTTGTTTCTGCTCCATTTATTTAACTCTGTGAAGCTGTGATTCTCTGTCTATCTAAAACACAGATATCGTGGTCATAGTAAAGAGCTAAATGACTAGCATGGAGACATGAAAAGGGATAGGCCTGACTGGCAGGCAGAGAGAATAAATAGAAGAGAAATGAAGGAAGGAGAAGAGAGCAAGAGAACACGGGGAGGAACATATCAGGGGCCAGCGACCAGCCATCCGTGGAGAAAGAAGGAAAGTAAGGTATACAGAAGTGAGAAAGATAAAAGCCCAGAGGGAAAAAGCAGATGGGTTAAGTTAAGAAAAGCTGGCTAGCAGCAAGCTAAGGCCAGGCATTCATAAATAATAATAAGACTCCCATATGTGATTCATTTGTGAAATGAAAAAGAAACTTGTGAGAAACAACTGAAGTTGAGGTGAACTCAACTAGCATGTTATATTCATCTGCCCAAAATGTAAGCTGGTGAAGAAATGTTATTTGAGGGCCTCTAGTTCAAAACGAACCTGTAAACTGGCAGTTTTTAGACCTAATTTAGTCTGTAAATATCACTTGTACAGTGTTTGTTTGTTTGCTTGTTTTGAGACAGGGTTTCTCTGTTTAATAGCCTTGACTGCCCTGGAACTTACTCTGTAGCCCAGGCTGATCTCAAACTAACAGAGATCTGCTTGCCTTTGTCTCCCGAGTGCTGGGATTAAAGGTGTGCACCACCAGTGCCCTGCCAGTGTTTGATTTTAAAAGGCTATGATAAACTTACCTTCTAAAGGTTTATAGTTACTAGTTTTTGTATACCCATGATACAGGAAACCATAACCATGATCTAATTCTATCACATTTCCATCAACCCTCAAAGAGACTGTAATCATTTACTGACTGTTCACTATCTCTCCTCTTAGCCCCTGGAACTGTTTATGTACTTTCTCTGTATAAATTTGTCTCTTTAGGACGTTTCATAGAAATGAAATAAGTATTATACCTTTTTGTTTGAGTTTTTCACTTAACATGGTTTCAAATTTCATCCATGTGTGCTTTATCAATATATTGTTTTGAAGGATGAATAATGTCCCTTGTATGTGTGTAGCACATTTGTTTGTTCATTTACCACTTAGACATATGAGTTATTTATACTTGATAGCTCTATGAATAATGCAGCTGTAAACATTCATGTATAGTTTTTTGTGGGAATATGTGATTTATGGGTGTTGGCTAGTGCTAAGTACCTAAGTAAGGCCTGAGTTACAGCTTTAGAAGTATGGTGGGGTTTTGCTGTTGTTGTTGTTCTTTTGGGGGGGGTTGTTTTGGTGGTGCTTGTAATAGAACACATGGCCTCTTGCATGCTGGTTGAGCATTCTACCACCAAGCTGACCTAAAACTTAATAGTCTCCTGCCTCAGCCAGGCAGTGGTGGCATACACCTTTAATCCCAGGACTCAGGAGGCAGAGGCAGATGGATGTCTGTGAGTTCAAGGCCAGCCTGGTCTACAGAGTAAGTTCCAGGACAGCCAGGGCTGTCTCAAGAAATTAAAAAAAAAAATCCTCCTGTCTCAATTTCTCAAGTAGTGTTACAAGCCTGCCCCAGCTCTGTTTGTGTATACCGTTGGAAACTGAACCTCAAGACTGTCACTATGCTATGAAACTACACTCTCAGTCCTTAACTTTACTGGTTTTGTTTTGTTTTAAATAGAAGGTTGCTAAGTTGCCCAGGCTAGCCTTGAGCTTGCAAGTCCTTCTGCCTCATATTCCCTAGTAGCTGTTTTTATATGCCTGACTTTAGACCACCATTTTCACAATAGAAATGAGATAACCAAGTAATACTTGAATTGTAAGACCCTAACATAGTACACGAGGGTGATCATAGCAGACTAGGCAGACAAGCCAAATCTAGCCTGTCACCTGTTGTAATTAGTTAATAAATTTGAAACTAGGCAGAGTGGTGTACATTGATAATCCCAGTACTTGGAAGGCTGAGACAGGGAGTACATCATGAGTTTTACACTAGCCTGTTCTATATAGTGAGTTCCAGACCATCCTATATACTACCTGGTGAGGCTATCTCGAAACAGAACAAAACAGTTTGTTTGAGCCTGGGTCTCAGAATACTGCCTAGGCTGGTTCTGAATTCCCAGGCTCAAGTGGTTCTTTCTTCAGCATCTCAAGTTGTAGAGACCACAGCAGTGGACCACTACACCCAACTGTCAGTTCAGTTTAACTTTTTGTTTTGTTTTGTTTTGAGACAGGGTTTCTCTGTGTATCCCTGGCTGACCCAGAATTTACTTTGTAGACCAGGCTGTCCTCGAACTCAGAAAGATTCACCTTCCTCTGCCTCCTAAGTATTGGGATTGCTAGGATTAAAGGCATGTGCTATCACCACCTGTCATAAATTTTACTAATTTGTTTAGCATTTTTTGGTAGCTTTGAGTTTAGTAGAGTTTAGTTTATAACAATGTGACTTGCAAGAATTAGAAACAAGAACATTGGGGTTGGAGAGAAATGCGAACTGTGCAGTGTTTACTATAAGTTTATTAATAATCTGAATAAGATAAGATGGCCTTGATGATCTTTTATGGTTAATTCTCCTCCTGCCAAGAGTTCTTGTTTCTGTCCTTCATCTCTTTATTCTCAGAACCGCACCAGTGAGATCTCATTAAGACAAGTGAGGTGGAGACACTACTGAAAAGAGAGTAAACTGCAAGCGATGAGGTCTAAAGCAGGGCTGGCAGACTCTGCCCTGGCTGGAAAGAGGTGTCTGTGTTTGGGAAGCAGCACGTTTATGTCTGGTGATGAGAGGGAGCTCCTGCCTTTGGCTTCTGTTTTCTCTGTGAAATTGAAGGCAGAATTATCTGAAATGTGAGCCTGACAGAGAGGTTGTAGACTTAAGCATAGGGAAGAAGATTGAAGCGTTGCTAGAGAAAATAGGAAAGTCTCAGAGCCTCAGGGATAGCTGGTGACCATGTCTTTATTTTAGGCATGGTTACTGTTGCATTTATTTATTGGCATTATGTGGTAAAGAGTTTTATGTATTTTGTAGTTAACATTCTATTCTATTCTTACCATTCTCCAGTGTGTTTCTTCATTCAAGAAGGGAGTTATAGGTGTAAAACAGAAGTATTTGATACTGAGTAGTTGTACTTGTTTATCCTTTACAGAGAGAGCCAGTATTATTAGGTTTTACTTTCTTTGATGAATTGTATCCTTTGCATAGTTCATCTTTACTTTGAGACAGTCACTTGTAGCCCATACTGACTTTGAATTCACTATATAATTTGAGGATAATCTTCCTCTATCCATGTTCCTGTACTTGGATTCCAGTCATATGCCACCACTTCCTGATAGTATGTGGTGCTGGGACTCAAACTCACAGCTCTGGACATGCTGCCAACTGTGCTAGCCCCAGCATTTTGAACATTGTAGCCATTCTGAATTGTTGGTATATATCTATAGTTGTACATGTTTTGATAGCTTTAGTTTTATCTGGTTTTTAAATATTCTCTTAAATAAGTATGCCAAGTAGTTCTTGGCCACATTCTAGCATAGTCTATTAAACCTGTCAAACCTTGCATAGCTCTGACATATAGTTTTAAAAGGGTATTGATGTGGCCAGAAGAGGTGGCTCAGGGACTGAGAGCAGGTGCTACTCTTACAGGGAACTTGAATTTTGTTACCAGAATCCAGGTCAGGCAGCTCCTAATTGCTCATAACTATAGCTGTAAGGAATTTGATGTCTTTGCCCTCCATTTGCATTTGCACACATAAACATAATTAAAATTAATAAATATGTATTTTTAAATTGTTAATTTTTTTGTTAGTTTTACATTTAGGCTATAATTTATTGTCTTTAAAGCTTATTCCATTAGTTCAGAAGATGTTTTAAGTGTCCTGTAGGTAAAAACCTGATTCTGCCTCAGCAGTAATTCTTAGACTAGTTGAACAAATGAATGTGTGAATAAATAATTAGGATTCTGAGTAGTAAGTGCTGTTAAAAACATACATATAACAATACGTAATTAACGCAGGAAATCATTCTTTATAAAAAATACAGAATTAAAACTTAAATAGAGTGGATTTTAATTGGGCTTGAAAGATTTAAGATTTTGCCAGTAATGTGGTAATTATATTAGCCAACATTGAGGGCTTGCTTATGCTACTCCTGCAATATTGTACTTGTATAATAAGTGTACATGATATATACAAGTAATACTGACAGATAGTTGCAGATATTCAGACATTTTGCAAGGATAGATAAAGACAGTAGACTATTTGCCTGGCTTGCCCAATGCCCTGGGTTCTGTCCCCAGCTGACCATCAGCAAAAAAGTTCTAATATTTCAGTGAAAAAAAAAAGATAACATGACTCCAATGTTGTGGAAAATAGAGAGAGATAGATGGATGGATGGATAGATAGAAGATAGATAAGCAGGCAGACAGACCTGAAACCATTTACAGTGATTGCCTGTGGCTATTAGTCTTACGGGTATTTTTCTTTTCATTTTCCCCGCTACAGTGTTCATGTTACCTTGGTGACATGAAATACTCAGTGATTCCTATATAAGAACATTTCTCACTTTATTAAAAAAAATTGACCTTTTGGGAACTGTTTTCTGAAGCATTTTTATTTCGTATTTTTGAGACAGCCCTTGAGTCGGAATAAATTACTTGAACTGTATAAATATTTGCATTCCATCAAGAACACCGAAGCTAAATGTAGAAAGCAGAAACCTGCGCCTGTATTTTGACATCCAGAAACTGTGACTCACAATGTTTTGTTTCCTTTATTGTCAGTTTTTCTTAATCAAAATATCCAGTTACAAAAGACTTCAGATTGATATTGAAATAAGTATTGTATTGTCTGAAAGATTTTTTTAACCGAAAAACTTCTGTTTATGTAAACTTTTTTCTGGTTTTAGAGGAATCGAAGGAAAATGAAAAGGCAAAACGTGATGAGCAGCCAGTAGATTCCATAAAACGTTCTGCGGCCAATGTTCTGGAAGAGAAAGCTGTGAAAATTGAAAAAGAAGATGAAAAGGAGCTCATGAAACTGCCTGTTATTGTAAAGCTTGAAAAACCTTTGCCAGAAAGTGAGGAAAAGATTATCAGAGAGGAAAGTGATTCCTTCAAGGAAAATGTCAAACCCATTAAAGGAGAAGCAAGGGAATGCAGAGTGGACTCCAAAAGCAGCTCAGAGAGACTGGGTGCACAGGAGCCTGAGCGAGTAGAATTTGGTGGCAACATCAGATCTTCTCAAGACATCACAGAGAAATCTTCTGAGGAAACAGAGAAGCTTAAAAATGACCAGCAAGCCAAGATACCACTAAAGAAACGTGAAATTAAACTGAGTGATGATTTTGACAGACCTTTGTGTAAGTCAGCTACTCCAACAAAAGAGTTTTTGAAAGATGAAATAAAACAAGAGGAAGAGACTTGTAAACGGGTCTCCACCATCAGTGCTTTGAGTCATGAAGGGAAACAGCTAGTGAATGGAGAAATTAGCGATGACAAGGTAACTCCACATTTTAAGGTAGAACAAATGGAAGCACAGCTTTGTGATATAAAGGACGATGACTCTACCATCCCCTCTAAGGATGGAAATACTGTCACGGAGGGAAATGGTGCGGAGTGCTTGAACTCTGTCATAGCAGGCACAAAGGAAGTCTCTCCAGAGAAGAGTACAGACAGCTCTGTATCTGCCTTGGAGAACCACTGTCAGAAAGGAGCGTTAGAGGAGTCTGGGCCTCCAGACGTGGAAATGCCTCTTGAGCCTCCAGAGACAGCAACAGATCTCTCTTTAAAACCTACTGTGTCTGCCACTGAACCCTGCACTGCGAAAGTCGAAGAGAAGGCCCCCAAAAGTAAGAAGGAGAACCATGCTCCAGGCATAGAATGTCTGGAAAAGGTGGAGAAGGCCAAAAAGACTGCTGTTGATAAAGAAAGATTGAGTCCAATACCTGAGGAAGTTGTAAGGAGTCCTTTAGAATCAGAAAAGCCAGGTCCTTGTGAAGTGGCTGAAACTTCCCTCCCACCCGAGAGGACTAGCCCCACAGAGAAACTAGCCTCAGAAAAAAAAGGTGTAGAATATCTACATAGAGATTCAAGTGAGGGTCAGTCCCTTGAAAATGAAAGTCCAGAAATTCTAAAAGAGGATTCTGAGTCCATGAAAGTGGATGTGGCCACTCTGGACAATGCCCAGGCCTCTGGCATGGAGGATACTTCTGAGACAAAGGGCTCTGTGCAAAAGAACAAATTCAGATATAAGTTAATTCCTGAAGGAGATAGCACTGCATCAGAAAACACAGAGATCACCTCTGAAAGGCAGAAGGAAGGCATCAAGTTAACAATTCGGATATCTAGTCGGAAGAAGAAGCCAGATTGTCCCCCACAAATCGTAGACTCTGAAAGCAAGGAAGATAAGGTGGGGAAGGAAGAAGAGAAAGCAAGTGTGGGGCGCACTTTAAGAAGGTCCCCAAGAATATCCAGACCCACAGCAAAAGTTGCTGAGATCAGAGATCAGAAAGCTGATAAAAAAAGAGGGGAAGGAGAAGACGGAGTGGAAGAAGAGTCCACAGCCTTGCAAAGAGCAGATAAGAAGGAACACTTGAAAAAAGCAGAGAAGGATACAAATTCTAAAGTGAGCAAGGTAAAGCTTCCACCGAGTTTTCAGTGTAGAAAATTGAAAATTATTTTAATAGGCTGTGTTTGACATGTGCATGGGGGGTTCAGAGAACAACTTGCAAGTGTCTTCTCTCTTCCCACCGTGTAGATCACAGGGATCAAATTTAGGTTGTCAAGTTTGGCAGCAAGCTCCTTTACTCACTAAACCATCTTACTGGCCACTGAGTTTTCAATTTAATATTTCTTGCATGTGTGATGTATGTATGTGTTTATGTGGATGTGCGTGCGTGCGTGCGTGTGAACATTGGGTGGCTTCCTCCATCTCTTTCCCCTTTGTGAGACAGCTCAAAGCTCAAGGGTTCAACTAGGCTAGACAGTGAGCTTCAACAGTACACCTGTCTGCATTCGCAACGCCAGGGTTACAGATGCACACACACTGCCATAGATGACTTTTTATTGGGTTCTGGGCATCCAGATCCAGGTCTTCATACTTGTGAGACAGACATTTTACTGAGCCATCTCGAAAGCCTTGTGTTCTCAGTTTTAATTAGAAAACTAATTTGGATCTAATTGTTCGTAGCTTTGCCATTCAAAGACAACTAATACTAAGCCTCTCCTTTCAATAGTTATAGCCACACACTAAATTTCAGACCATATAATGTTATCTTTTAGACTTCTTTTTCTATTGTAAGCAGTTCTAGGGATACATTCTATACTCTATTCAGCTAATAATGATCCTGTAGAGTGCTAAAACAAAACTCCCCATATCCACCTAACAGTTTGGGGGATACATTGTTTCATTCCTTTTTCTAAGCATTCATGTGTATGTTTATGAACATTTTGTTCATAAAATTTTTTAAGTAATCGAATCACACCTTTTTGTTTTGCTTTGAGATTTTCACGTAATGATATCTATTCTTATGTCAGGAGTTAGTCTACTTTTGTTTATTCGTGGCCACATAGTATTTCATAGTGTGGATATACCTCAGTTTATTTAATTACTCCCTGATTAATTGACATTTAGGTTGTTTCCCATTTTTCACTATTACAGGCAATGCTGCATTGAAGATCCTTTTGGACATAAGTGAGTATTTCTTTAGAATAGACTCCTAGAATTGGAATTACTGGGTCAAGGGGCATGTGTGTTATAAAATTGATAGTTATTGTCACATTGCCCTCCAAAAGCCCTGTTAGTGTACCACCACATTACCAATTTACCATTTTCCCCATTTCAACCATTAGTTTTATGAGCAGGAAATTTCTTTTCTATGACCTTCTTAATTTTAAGCAGAGTCTTTAGTCCATGGGAGTTTGCTGTTAAAACTGCTACCTTTTTTATTTAAATGGCCAGGTTGTTATTCATTGTCAGTCGTTCTTTGCTCCCTGAAATGTGGAATTTTTAATTCTTTTGAAAACCTTTTTTCTTTTGTTGGAATTATTTCTTCTTTCCTAGAGGCCTGTAGCATAACAATGAAGTGAAAAAGAAATTAAAAGACTAAAACTAGGTAAAAAAAATGGTTTATCATGATCAGCTTATTCTCAGAATCTTAATATTTTTAAAGTTTATTGGGGATTTTTATATGCAGCTCTGACCTGCTTTAATTAAAAATTTTGTTTGTCGGGGCTAGAGAGATGGCTCAATGATTAAGAACACTAGTTGGTCTTCCAGAGGTCCTGAGTTTAAGTCCCAGCAACCACATGGTAGCTCACAACCATCTATAATCAGATCTGGTGCCCTCTTCTGGCTTGCAGGGGTACATGCAGGCATAAAAAATACTGTATACATAATAAATAAATCTTTTAAAAATTGTTTGTAATTTAGAGGGTTTTTGTGGTTTTTTTAGACAGGGTTTCTCCGTGTAACAGCCCTGGCTGTCCTGGAACACCCTTTGTGGTCCAGGCTGCTGTCACAGAGATCTTCCTGCCTCTGCCTCCCGAGTGCTGGAATTAAAAGGGGGTGTGCTACCATGCCCAGCCTTTAGAGTTTAAATTTTTGAAAAAAAAAATATTGTGTCAGTATATCTTCCTGCTATTCATAGAGCCTTTAAGTGTCCATGGCCTTTGACCCAGAATCCTGTTCAAGGAATTTATCCTAACCACAAAGATGGATGTAAACAATAACAACTATGAAGGTACATTGTGAAAGTGAAAAAATGGGAAACAACCACCCAAACATGTGAATAAGATCATACAGCTATTTTGGTATATTTAAAGACATAGTGGTCATTGTATAATCCCATTTTTAAGACCCCTCCCCAAATACAGAAGAAATAATGAATACACATACCAAAACTTAGTAGTAGATAGAGCTGATGATACGACTATAACAATTTTCATCTTTTCTTTCTGGATCAGCTAAATATTCTCCACGGAATATGTAATTGGAGAAATTTGAAAAAAAAGTCTTATGTCCCATTGTCTCATCTTTTAACTTATGTAAGGTAAAACCCAAAGGCAAAGTTCGATGGACTGGTTCTCGGACACGTGGCAGGTGGAAATACTCCAGCAATGATGAAAGTGAAGGGTCTGACAGTGAGAAATCCTCTGCAGCCTCAGTGGAGGAAGGCGGAAAAGAAAGTGAAGAAGCCGTCCTTCCAGATGATGATGAACCATGCAAAAAATGTGGCCTTCCAAACCATCCAGAACTAGTAAGTGCTTACTCTCCATGAGCAGTGCTCGTTTCATGGCTATACTGCGGTTATTTGCAGTGACCTACTACTCCTAGCTTTGATCATAATTTGAATTTTGTTGTTTGAACCAGGGTCTCACTGTTAACCCTGCCTGGCCTGGATCTCATTAAGTTGGCAGTTAAGACTAACACTTGTCTTATTTACTTTTCTATTACTGTGATAAAGCACCATGGACAGGGAAACATAAACAATAGTTTGATTATGCTGTGGTTCCAGTGTTAGGATTAATAATGCAGAGTGAGAGCATGGAGATGGTGGCTAGAGCAGCAGCAGGAGATGGCCCGAGTCTTTTGAAACTCAAAACCGAGCTCAGTAACTTACTTTTCTTGAATAAGACCATGCTTCCTAATCCTCCCCAACAGCTACCAACTGGGGGCCAAGTATTCAAATGATGGAGATTGGGAGGGGGCATGGACTTCAAACCACCACATACTGAGAGGCTGTGAAAGTGAAGACCTTTGTGTTGAGGGGGTTGGAAGATTGACCTCTTTTTGAAGACCTCTTTTCTGCCCTCTTACTCAGAGAATCAGCAAGGCTTGTGTTTGCCACACCATTCCCCTATTTATTTATATTTATTGGCAAAATGGCTTTAAACAGTAAAGAGGCCAGGTGGTGGCGGCGCACACCGTTTAATCCCAGCACTCGGGAGGCAGAGGCAGGATCTCTGTGAGTTCGAGACCAGCCAGGTCTACACGAGCTAGTTCCAGGACAGCCTCCAAAGCCACAGAAACCCTGTCAAGAAAAAACTAAAAATAAATTGATAAATAAATAAAAAGTAAAGAAGCTCTGGGGACAAAACAAGTGTGAGGAAATAGTGTATTGAGCAAAAGTGACAGCAAGGAGATCCACGGGATTTTAGTTTGTCATTATAAGTAGTTAGGAAATTACATTTCTATTCACTATGGCAAAGAGAATGATGTTGGAAACTGAAGTTCTACAATCTGGTGTGTTTCTTATGTCCTTGACTTGAAGATAATCCCAGATCAAAATTAGAAGCAATAACCAGGCCATTTAATCCCAGTACTCAGGAGGCACAGACAGGCATATCTCTGTGAGTTTAAGGCTAGCCTGGTCTACAAAAGAAGTTCCAGAACTGTTACACAGAGAAACCCTGTATCAAAAAAAATAACAACAAAATTTGAAGGAATAATAAACTACTATTGTATTAGTAAAGGTCCTTGTTCTTGGTGAACAGAAAAGCAATAAATTCAGTAAATCTAGAACTCTTGTCTGTTCTAGTTGTTTTAGCTAAAAGCAATGGATCATTGCCTGAGACTTCGAGTTTCTTTTTTGTTTGTATGTTTCCCTGTGCAACAGTGCTAGCTGTCCTAAAACTGGCTCTGTAGACTAGGCTGGCCTTGAACTCGCAAAGATCCATCTGCCTCTACCTCCCAAGTGTTGGGATTAAAGGGATGTGCCACCAACGCCCAGCAGAAATTCTTATGTAGTAATAATTATTCAGTGGAATTTGGGATTTTGTTTTGGTGTAAGACCAGTCTTCATTTTAGAAGTAACTTAAATTGTAAAGTTTTATTTTGAATTGTCTTAATTTGAAATTTCTGTTAGGTTTTCTATAGAAACAATGTGATGAGTAAAATTGGGTTCCAGGCTTAGTCCACATATGCCAAAGCAATCAATTTAACAGCTATTCACACACCTACCATGGAACTGCTTTCCCAGCTCATTTATTTTATTTTATTTTGAGATGAGTTTCAAAATGTTGCCCACACTGACCTTAAAATCTGATATTCCTGTCTTTACTTCCCTAGTAGGTGGGATTACTGGCATTAGCCATAAGGCCCAGCTGATGGGAGATATCATTCTGTAAATCTGTCTCTCTTATTGATTGTTGAATAAAGCACTGTTGGCCAATAGGGAAGCAAGATAGGTGGGACTAGGAGTCTAGGAGGATTCTGTAATTCATCTATAAATCTAAAAATAATTTCAACTAAATACTCTTTTAGTTTAATGATTACCAATAAGCTGTGGTAGGTTTTAAATGCCTGGTCATCTAGAGTTCATTGCAGGGGAATATAAGGTGAAACTAGTTGATGGTGTTGTTAGTGTTTGAGCAGGATTGCTTTGTCACTTCTAGTCCCTTCCTGTGTGTCATTCTCTTCCTTATCTGAATTTACAGAATAAAAGAACTGTATTTCTTATTTGAAGATAACTTAAATGCAATTAAAATGGAAATACCTTATAATTCTCTATATGGTAGTATACTTTATGATACCGGAACTTTGAAACTCTGTTATAAATAATGTATGATTGCGCTTGTGGCAAACTAAAAATTGATTCCAATTCAGAAAGGACTTTCTGTATTTCACTAATTTCTATACTATAATTAGTGAAATAGGTTGTCAGAGGGAGTGCTTTTTAGTTTTTAAATTCTTTTTGTTTTTGTGAGAAAGGGTTTTTCTGTATAGCCTGGCTATCATAGAACTTGCTTTACATACAGTCCAGGCTGGCCTCTGCCTCCCTAATGCTGGGATTAAAGGTGTGCGCCACCACTGCTCATCTCAGTTAAAATTTTTTCCATCGCTTATTGTCAGAGCAGTTTCAAGAATGGTGTCATATGCCGGGCGGTGGTGGCGCACGCCTTTAATCCCAGCACTCGGGAGGCAGAGGCAGGCGGATCTCTGTGAGTTCGAGGCCAGGCTGGACCGATAGCCTCCAAAACAATACAGAGAAACCCTGTCTCGTAAAAACCAAAAAAACCAAAAAAAAAAAAAAAAAAAAAAAAAAAAAAAGAATGGTGTCATATACCTGTACTAATCCAGCACTGCAGAGGCTGAGACAGGAGTACTACTGAGATCTTGAAGCCATCTTGTGCTACATATTGAGCACCAGCCTAACCTGTGCTGTTAGTATAGCAAAGCATTGTCTCACAAAAGAAAGAAAGTTATATCATTATTTTAACAAAATGCAGATTGGTTGATATTAATGTTTGTTTGTTTGTTTTTTCCAGATTCTTCTGTGTGATTCTTGTGACAGTGGATACCATACTGCCTGCCTCCGCCCTCCTCTGATGATCATCCCTGATGGGGAATGGTTCTGCCCTCCTTGCCAGCATGTACGACCCAACCTAATTCTGTCTCCAGCCCTCAGTTTTATATTCAATACATTAATAATACTTTTTTAGCAATCATTAAACACCTTCCCTTTTCAAAGCTGTTGTTAATAGTGTTTGCCTTTTGTTTGGGTGTCTACCGTCTATTAGTATCTTAGGCTTACTTTTTGTCTTGTATAAAACTTCTGGCTTTTGTAAAGCCATCTGTTTTCTATTCAGATTTTTAATAAATCTAAATACCATCTGTAGTTTACCTCATTTTAAAAATCTCATTATTCATTACTATATCCGTTTTTGTTGTTAGCACTGAAAGAAACATCAGTCTGTTCTGTATTAATTCACAGAGTTTCTTGTAAACCAGAGAACAGTAAATTTCTATTCACTGCACCAATTGGATACTTTGTTTCCAATTGCTTATTTTGCTTTCAACATAATGGCTTTATGCTTTTTTCTCTGAAGTTACCTTCTCACTTCGCATAGCTTGATCTATATTTTTTTGGTTTTGGTTTTTTCGAGGCAGGGTTTCTCTGTGGCTTTGGAGGCTGTCCTGGAACTAGCTCTTGTACACCAGGCTGGTCTCGAACTCACAAAGATCCACCTGCCTCTGCCTCCCAAGTGCTGGGTTTAAAGGCGTGCACCACCACCGCCCAGGTTGATCTATATTTTTATGTTCTGTTTTGATCCAGTAACCATGTAGCATTGTTTTGAATGTATTTTTTTATATTGGCATTATGCTTTGTCATATATATTTTTTTTCTTCAAATTATTTTGATAGCCTTTTATTTTTAATATAACATTGTTTTGAATAGTAATAAAATGCAATTCTGAATAATAAAAGCAGGGTAGGCACAGAATATGTCTTTTATTTTTGTTTTTCCAAAGCTGTGTTTGTTTGGCATGCTTTCTTATAGACATGCTGTGTTCATCACCCATTAAGTGGATCCTGACAACCTTTTAAAAACAAAGCATTTTCAGTATTCATTCACCATGTAATCATTTTCAGCTCATAGGGCTTATTATCATTAAGGCTTAATAATAAGCATGTGATGTTTGGTTGTGTTCTGGTATTAAAAATAACACACACATATTGTTCCTTCAGAAACTACTGTGTGAAAAATTAGAAGAACAGTTGCAAGATCTGGATGTTGCCTTAAAGAAGAAAGAGCGAGCAGAACGAAGGTAAATTGATATATGTGCTAATGTTTTCCTTAGATATTTGGCAGTAAAATTGCTTTGCAGTTTAGATGAACACATCCATCCAAAGCAAAGACTGGCAAACTACAGGCAAGTCAAACCTGATCTGCTGCTGCTTTCTTGATTGCCTTCTAAGAGTGGTTTTTATGTCTTTAAAAACATCATTATAAACCCATTTCATGATGAAGGGAAACTACATGATAGTCTCATGTCATATTCCATAAAAAAACTTTACTAGATAGCTTACAAAGTTTTAATAAAGATATTTTATCATTTTCATAAATGTAATAACTTCCCCATCTATCTGTTCCTAAGATTCTTGTTAGCAGGGTCAAGAGTTCATAGCATTCCAAAAGGTCTAGACAAGTAAATGCATTCATTTCCTTTCAGAAGGAACATTACAATAGGCAAGAAAGGACAGTTGCTCTTCTAGTTTAGTTTAGGGTACTCTGATGTTCAGAGCTCAGCTGTCCTCAATATGCTGGATTAATAATAGAGATGACCAGAGCAAACATCTGCTGTATAGAACTGTTTGCTATTGTTTTTTAATTAAAGTAAACTGGGCTTTTGTTTATTTGTTTTTTTGTTTTTTCCCTTGGGAATGAAACCCATGGAGATGTTGTTTTCTGGCTACACCATTATCTTCATTTGCATTGCTGAATGCATAGCCATATGTCTGCATTGCAGGTTTTCTTCTCCACAGCAAGCCAAGAGTGGTTTTCATTCACTGGAGTGGTCATTCACTGGAGCCTTGATTGATTTTGCTATGTATGGTTTGTTAGTCATTATTTTATAGTGATGTTTATTACCATAGGCTTTTTTTCCTTTTGAGACAGGGTTTCTTTGTGTAGCTTTGGTTTTCTGGGAACTGCTCTTTAGAACAGGCTGGCCTTGAACTTACTGAATTTTGCTTATTTTAGTTCAAAAGTATAGCTTTCATATAAGTAAGAAAGTTTGTAATTTTCATCAATACTAATACTCTACTAAAATTTCACTTTAATATCTGTGGCAGCCTTTTAATTACCATGTAATTGTAATTTTTGTTACTATCTACAATATTTTCATACCAGTTTCATTTTTATCAAATCTTATTTTATGCCTTTGGTTTTTTGGTTTTAAGGAAAGAACGCTTGGTGTATGTTGGTATCAGTATTGAAAACATCATTCCTCCACAAGTAAGTTTCTAGTTTATAGTATTTTTAAACATTTTATATGTGTGAGCGGTTTGCCTACATGAATATTCTATGTACCTCATGTATGCCTAGAGCCTACAGAGGTCAGAAGAGAGTGCCAGATCTCTTGGAACTGGATAAAGAACTATGATTATCTTATTCAAACTAAACTTACAGCTTATTGCTTTGGGTTAATGTTCTATTGTTTCTTTTGTAAATGGAATAATTTGTGACTCAATTTATAATGTGTTATTTGCATAAAATAACTGAAGAATTCCAAGAAAACATCTTGGAAATGTTTTACTTTTAATTTCTACCACTGAAACTTTAAGTTCTATTATAATTTAATTTATTTGAAGAATTGCCATTGTTTACATTTATTAGTCTATAATTAAGCATATCTCTGAGTGAATAAATATGAAACTTAGTTTCCAACTTGATTTTGTTGTGGTTTTGTCACTGTTGTTGATTTTAGATAGGGAATGTAACCCTCACTGGCCTGGAACTCAGATACACTGCCTCTTTCTCTTAAATGCTGGTTTTGAAGGCTGGGACTAGAGGTGTGAGCTACAACATTCAGTAGTTTCCAAATGAAGACTTACTGTTTCATAATTAAATCACAGCCTTAAGTAGCTTACCAAATTATTCTTCAGTTTAAATCAAATCATCTCATGATTTTAGCATACATATCTATTCAAAGTTTTCTGTGTATTATATTTAATTGGTTAAAACATTAAATTGCCATTGGTGGGACACACCTTTAATCCCAACACTTGGGAGGCAGCTGTAGGAGGAGGATCTTTGAGTTTAAGGCCAGCCAGGTCTACAGAGTGAGTTCCAGGACAGCTAAGACTTTAAAAAAAAAAAGCAAAAAGGTTGGATTGCTAGAAAAACTTCAACCTGTTTATCCTGGTTATTTTAATAACATACTATTGTAAACTCACAGAAATTTAAGAATTTCAACACAGAAATAGTTTATCTGTTTACCAATATTTTTAATTTGTATAATTAGTTTTGCCACCTATAGTCATTGTAATGGATAATCGGATAATCTCAGAGTTTCTCAGGCCTTTCATGTGTGCTCTGTAGGTCAAATATTAAAGTTGTTAATTCCCAGGACTTTTTCTCTGTCACACCTGTATATGTTTATCTTTAAAGGAGCCAGATTTTTCTGAAGAGCAAGAAGAAAAGAAAAAGGATGCAAAAAAATCCAAAGCAAACTTACTTGAAAGGAGATCAACAAGAACAAGGAAATGTATAAGCTACAGGTATGAGATAAAAGAAAGTTGTTACAGTTTTTTTTTTTTTTCTAGTTAGACAAAAACCAGAAGTGGGTGGTATTCTCAACACAGTGTCAACTGTTATCTTTGGGTGTTAGGTTCCACGACCTCAAGGTCAGGCTGTAGCTCAGTAGTAGAGCACTTCCCTAGCATGAGCAAAGTCATATGTCCAGTCCACACCGTGTACACATCCATGTATATGCATGCACGCATACACACACAAGATTTGCCACAGAAATTGTTTGTACAGTTAGCATGGTGAAGTTAGTTCATCTTATGGTCACTTGAGCCCTAAATTAAACTGCAACGTACTTATAAAGCAGTCTTAGAGATCATTTCTTTTTGTTCCTTTTCTTTAAACCAGAAGAAATAGCCCTTTAAGCAAAAGTATGTTTATCTAGTTCTAAATTTTGATCACCTGTATATGAATTTCTATAACACACTTTTTTTCAATAGCTGCGCTAACTGACCTTAACACTTACTGTGGAGCCGTAATTTTGTCCAAATTACTTTACCGTGTCACTTAAATGATTAGAGGTCAGTCTTTAGGCCATAGCTTGCCAACTGCTAGGTTTTGCATATTCTGTATCTCAAGAATGGCTTTTACATATATACATGATTGAAACAGCATTTTATGAGAACCATATGTAACTGAAGTTTCAGTGTCTGGGAAGTTTTTGTTATACAACCATCTACAATTACTTAACATTTGATTTACAACTGCATTTACATTACAGTGGCATAGTTTAAAGATTTTATAATCTACACCTACAGTTTACTGTCTGAGTCTTTGAAGTTTTTCCTTGTTTACTGATTGATTGTCTGGAGTATATGTGTGGGTGGTAGGGTACTTTCTCACATGTGCTGATACTGTCTTTGTTTGTACTCCTGTGTGGCAGTACCATCAACTGAATAGCTTTCCGAAAGCATACATTGATTCACAGTTTCAGAGGCTTTCTAGTCTATGATGAAAGTAGCTGGTGAGAGCTGGTGAGGACCAGTTTCTGACTTTTCCATGGTGACTCTGTGCTCTCTTGGTAGCAGTTCTCAAGGGCAGATCTAGTGTCTGTTGAGGGCCTGCTTCTTTATGTATATGGCTGTCCTCTTGCTTTAATTTCACATGGCATAAGAGGCCTGGGGATTCTTGTTTTCTCTTTTTTTTTTCTCCTGTTTAATGAGGACATTTATCATATTCATGAGTGCCCATGTCCTGAGACCATCACATGTGAGTTGGGGTGGGGACAAAACCAGACTCTTGTAGCCACTTTGTGTAGGTGGTCTTTGGAAATGAAACACTAATACAGCTTTCAGTCTGATCACTGTGCTTGTTTTAGATTTGATGAGTTTGATGAAGCAATTGATGAAGCTATAGAAGATGATATCAAGGAGGCTGATGGAGGGGGTATGTCTCTCATTTATTCTTTTTCACATAAGATTATTTCTCTCTCCATTGCTAACACTGAATAAACTAGCTCATATTCAGAGTAATCTGCTGACATGTGCCAGGGTATTATGTCAGAACTTATTACTAATTTTTGTATGATCTAATACAAAATTTTCAATTCCTTCATTGATCAAACAATGTATATCTGGTTCTCATTAGAACACTCAGGAAACTTTCCTATTGTCTTTGCAACAACAAAGTCTCAGAATGCGTGGATAATCTGAATTTGAATGACAGTGTAACTATGTTACAAATCAGTTTACTCATTTAATTGCCTTCTCTTTCTTTTCTTGGTTTTTGTTTTGTTTGAGACAGGGTTTCTCTCTCTGTAGTCCTGGTTGTTCTGGAATTCACTTGCTCTGTAGACCAGACTGGCCTTTAACTCACAGAGATCCTCCTGCCTCTGCTTCCTGAGTGCTGGGATTAAAGGCCTGTACCACCACGGCCAGCCTTAATTACCTTTCAAAATAGCACCCACACAAATGTTGTATTCACTTACAAAAACACACACATAAGCCAGGCAGTGGTGGTGCATACCTTTAATCCCAGCACTTAGGAGGCAGAGGCAGGTAGATCTCAGTGAGTTTGAGGCCAGCCTGGTCTGCAAAATGAGTTCCAGAATAGCTAGGACTATTACACAGAGAAACCCTGCCTCAGTGAATGAATGAATGAATGAATGAATGACAGCATATATACACACACATGAATTTTATTAAAATCTTAAAAGCCATGAGAACTGAGTGCTGGCAAGATCCCTTAGTGGTAGCAGCATTTGATCACAGTATTAACAATCTGAATTAGATATATCTTGGACCTTACCTCTGATCTCTATAAGTGTGTGCCTTGGAATGTATGGACACACATATGACATAAAAGAGGGAGGGGAGGGAGGGAGGGAAGGAAGGAAGGAACAAAGGAGTATATTGAAGGATTAAACAGATGACCCCAAGGTTAAAAGTGGTTACTGTTCTTACAGAGGACCCAGGTTCAGTTCTCAGTACCTACTTTGTAGCTCACAACTACACTACCTCTAGTTCTAGTCAATTCAAATCCCTCCTCTAACCTTAGGTGCCAGGCATGCATGTACTATACATACATATGTGTAGGCAAAACATTCATATACATACAGTAACGATTATTAAGCCATGTATGGTGATACAAATTTATAAATCAGGGGAGGTAAGAACCTGGGCTGCACAGAGAGATTTTTTTAAAAATGTCCTTCCACCAAATAAAAGACAATGAAATAAAGGGGAAAGGACGCATCACTAAGTGGTATATCATACAAAATATAAAACTAGGAGTCTCTGCACCGTGAACTTATATTCAGTATGATAGGCATGTTAATTTAGATTTTAGATCATTGTTAGCTGATGTTGTAAGCAACCTGCATGTTTCTAAGAAAATTAAGCAAAGAAAGAGGTTCAGTAAACATGCAGTTATCTCTTCCTCTCAGGAGTTGGCCGAGGAAAAGATATCTCCACCATCACAGGCCACCGTGGGAAAGACATCTCTACTATTTTGGATGAAGAACGAAAGGAAAATAAAAGGCCTCAGAGGGCAGCTGCTGCTCGCAGGAAGAAACGCCGGCGGCTTAATGATCTTGATAGTGATAGCAACCTAGATGAGGAAGAGAGTGAGGATGAGTTCAAGATCAGTGACGGGTATGTGACCTGCCTCAAGACCCATTCTTTAGGTGGCAGCTTACACAGAGCCAGGTTCTGAGACACACTTGGCTGGACCATGTTATGGCTTTTATTCTTCATACACATGGACAATCTATATTTTCAGGACATTTAAAGCAGGTCTGAGATTAATTGTTTTGATTCATTTCAGATTACATTTAAAGCTACGTTTATGATGGTTTAATATTTAAAATTATATTTAAATTTGATTAATTATAATTGAAATTTTATTTATTGAAATCTTTCTGTGTACTACCTTTTGCTACCCAGTTCATCAGTGGATTTTAATAAAGTGTGATAAATTATAAAGGAGTAAGTAATTACTGTCTTCTGGTGGTCTGTAGAGGTTTGGAGGGGTAACTAATCCAACATTAGGATTAGGGTTGCTTTTATGCAAAACAAATACAAACTACTGCAGAGTTTCTCCTTTTGGCTCAGTAGTACATGTAGTAGGAAGTTACTCAGCACTGCCTGCCTCTGTAATTTAGGTAAAATAAAGGTATGGTACAGAAGGTACTTGTGTCCATCTAAGGTAGTCAGGAAAACCTCACAGTAAGAGGTAACATAGAATCAACACGTGCAGAATGAGTACTTTGAACAGCTATATGAGATTAGAGGCGGGATGAGAAAAGAAAGCAACCCGAACAAAGAAGCCACATGCTCCAATGTCAAGGAGTAGTTAGGAAATTCCCTGAAAAACAAGAATATGGGGATGATGGGGCTGGAGAGATGGCTCAGAGGTTAAGAGCATTGGCTGCTCTTCCAGAGGTTCTCAGTTCAGTTCCCAGCAACCACATTGTGGTTCACAACCATCTGTAATGAGATCTGGTGCCCTCTTCTGATGTGCAAGCATACACACAGGCAGAATACTGCATACAAAATAAGTAAATAAATCTTTTTTTTTTTTAAGAGTATGGGGATGAAAGAGAGAATGCTCTGGTGGAGCTGCAATCAGAACATAAAAAAGAACAAATTATGGAATGGGTTTTTTCTGTTTCTTTGTTTTCATGCATACAAATTTGAACTTGCCCTGAAAATGTTTTAAAAAAATACCTAAAGGGTTAAGGTGTGAGGTGAAAAGTTTGGTCAGGATATGTACCATGCGATTGGGATAATGATGGGTGAATGATTCTCAATACCAGATAGCAGGTACAGGTGTTTGCCACCCAAGCCTTGCAACCCTATTTCCATCTTTAGAAGCCTTGTAAAGGTAGAAGGAGACAACCAACTCTACAATGTTGGCTGATATTCACATACAGGTACAAGTACCCCATCCCTCCCCATAAGAAGAAGCCAAGTTTTTTGTATTAAAAAAAATGTATATATCAGGCTGGAGATAGAAGAGGGGTATTAGGAAATATTGAGCACTTTTGGGTATTTTGGATTTAAGATGCATCCCAAAGAGGTCAGTGACAGAAGTTACCTATGAAATTCAGCATCAGTTTTTTTAACACCAGAGAACAGTATGCTCATTTTTTTAAACATTTCTAAAGATTTATTTATTATGTATACAGCATCTGTATGCCCACAGGCCAGAAGAGTGTGCCAGATCTCATTACAGATGGTTGTGAGCCACCATGTCGATGCTGGAAATTAAACTCGGGTCCTCTGGAAGAACAGCCAATGCTCTTAACCTCTGAACCATCTCTCCAGCCCCCCAGCATCAGTTATCTTCGTGGCTTCTACAAAGAGGATATATCTGTCTGATATATAGACAGAAGTTGACATAATTTTCTAGATGTGTCTTTAAATATTAACATTTCACTGGATTCATTACAGTTGTTGTTTGGAACTATGAAAAACTGGTTATCACTTCCAACTGTACCATTACAAAACAAACACTGAGTGCACCATCATGACATTTCTGGCTTTTCCTGCACAGATCTCAAGATGAGTTTGTTGTGTCTGATGAAAACCCAGATGAAAGTGAAGAAGATCCACCATCTAATGAAGACAGTGACACAGACTTCTGTAGCCGAAGACTCAGGCGGCATCCTTCTAGGCCAATGAGACAAAGCCGGCGTTTGCGGAGAAAGACCCCAAAGAAAAAGTACTCCGATGATGATGAAGAAGAAGAAGAAGAAGAAGAATCTGAGGAGAATAGTAGAGACTCTGGTAAAATGCTTTCTGTCTCTATCCGAGCAACTCAGTTGCTTCCTGTGGCTTCTGGAGTTCCATGGTGTCAGAATTGTACTCAGCTGTGACTTAGGCGTCCTGATGAGATTCTGGATTCCTTTTCTTATAACTTTTTTCATACAGAGCACATCTGAGAAAATTCATATAAATTCATGTGTTACCTTCATGCCAACTCTTTGAGAATGTTAAATTATGATAAATTCTGTGGGTATTTCTGAGAATATTTTGAGATGTTGTAGCATGAGGACCAAAACCCCACACACACACTAGGGCTTCTTAAACTTTCTACTCATAACTTTTTATTCCTGAGAAGCTTTTACACAACTTCCAGTACTTAAGTTTATGAAATAGATAATAAAAGTCAAACATTGACTGAATCAATCATAAGAATCTTTTTTTTTAATGTATTTTTTTCCCATGCATTGCTGTTTTGTTCATGAAGGGTGTCAGATCCCCTGGGGACTGGAGTTATAGACACTTGTGAGCTGCCATGTGGGTGCTGAGAATTGAACCTAGGTCTTCTGGAAGAGCAGCCAATGCTCTTAACCACTGAGTCATATCTCCAGCCCCCAGATAATGGAGAAAATGTTTAATTTTAATAAAATAATTACTTTGGAAACATAATTTTGCATACTGTTGATAACAGATGTACTTATATTTTCTTTATAAAACTCAATTCAGAAATTCAAACAGCATTTTTAAAAATCAAAAATTCTAACAATGCAATCCAGAGACTAATTTGGTAATTATGTATTGAGGAATGATAATAAATATTAAAACATTTGCTGTAATTAAACCATTATGTTTTAGAATCTACTTTTATTGAAAATCATAATACATAAAATGTACTTCAGTTATATACATTCATTCTTTCACTTTTCCCAGTTCCTCCCAGATCTACCCCCTTCCAACCATATGGTATGTCTTTTTGTCCAATCTCTGTTGCCCATGTGCTCATCGGTTTAGGACCAACTACTGAAACATGCCTATCTGGGACCACACCCTTACCAAAAAATTGACTTTCCCCTAAAAGCAACCAGCATCTCCTCAGCTTCTCAGTTTATGAGCCCCTCCTTCTTGCATGCTCAAATGTGTCCTAACTTGATCTTGTGCAGAAATCCACAGCTCTGTGAGTTCACAAGTACAGCTGTCCTTTCTTGTCCAGAAAACAGTTTTGCCCAGGTACTTACCATCCTCTGGCTCCTACAGTCTTTCCACCCCTCTTCTGTGATGGTGCCTGAGCCTTGGGGGAATTGTGTGTGATATAGATGTCCTTCTTGGCTAGGCTCTCCACACTTACTCTGTACTCTGACCAGCTGGTTGTTCTCAGTTGAATGTATTATGGAGTTACCAAACAGATGTTAACAACATTCCCCCTTCTTTTGGCATTGCTTGGGATCAAGTGCCAGGCAAACACTCTACCTGTGAGCTGCGCATCCAACCATCTCCTCCTCACCCTTTATGTACTCTCCCTTCTTCTGTCTTGTTTTCTTTCATAACTTTTTTTATCTTGGGAGTTAACTGATAATAGTATGCATTTGTGAGGCTGGGCTATTCAGTTGATACTTGCCTACCATGCTTGAAGTACCACTGCATATGGGATGGACACGTGTAGTGTCAGTATTCAGGAAGTGGTGGTAAGAGGAGCAGAAGGTCAAGGTCAGTCTGTGCTACGGACCTGGTCTCAAAAAAACCACAAGTGTACATTTGTGACATTTTGCAAACTGATTTTTATTTTAAAAGAAAATGAGATTTATAAAACTTACTCAACTGAAATGTTTACAACTAGACTCTATTGATTTTATATTTTATAGCCTAAAGCATGTTAAAATACCAATGGATTTAAATTTTGTTCTTCTTTATCCTCCCCCTTTGTTTCTAAACAGAAAGCGACTTTAGTGATGACTTTAGTGATGATTTTGTAGAAACCCGGCGAAGGCGATCAAGAAGGAACCAGAAAAGACAAATTAACTACAAAGAAGATTCAGAGAGTGATGGTTCCCAGAAGAGTATACGACGTGGTAAAGAAATCAGGCGAGTTCATAAGCGCAGACTCTCCAGCTCAGAGAGTGAAGGTAAATGGTGTCTCCTGTGTGTCATAGAACGTTCAGGCTTGTGCTCTGTGTGCTTGCTTTTCTTTTCTTTTTGTTTATCTGTTTATTTATTTTATTATTTTCTGAGACAGGGTTTCTCTGTGTAGCCCTGGCTGTCCTGGAACTCATTCTGCAGACCCGGCAGGCCTCAAACTCAGAGACCTTGACTCTTATCTTCCACCTTTTAAGGCATTTAATCTATAATTGTTTGTGATCTGTTTTGAATATATTACTTTTACAAATTAATCATGAAATAGAATTTGAGAGTATGAGAGCAGGAAAACAATATGTGAATGGATGTGGTTGACTTAGTCTTGGGTATCTTCATATGTCATAAAGATAAAACTAAATTCTTTAATCCAGCCATTAAAAGTGAGTATTTTTTGCACTAGACCCTCGTGTAAGAATTAGGAATTGGACAGAACAAAGTAGCCCTCATGTAACACTTAAGGTAGATGCAAAAATTATAAAATAAATATTAGGATATAAGATATTATATAGAGAAAAGGAGTTAGACACATGAAATTTCAGATTTCCTGAGTGAGAAAAACAATATTTAGGGGGAAAGTTAGGACTTAGTGGTGGAATACTTTTTCCCAGCATGCAAGAGGCTCTAGGACACCACACGCGCACGTGTGCACGCACACACACATACACACACACACACGCACACACACAAGATATGTTGGGTAGGAGTTACATGCTATCTAAAGGAAGAGTGATACTTACAGAACAACAAACTCAAAGCCTGACCTATCTAACTGTGCCCAGCACATTCAGGGAACAGGAAGCTCAGGGTGGTTAGTACTGAATGTGTCAAGAGAATGAGAAGTCAGCAAGCTACAGTGCACATGGTTGCACAAATCAATATTTTTGTGCAGATCAGGTTCTATTAGAAGATGGTCATATCTGTTAATTTACATATTGTCTGTAATTGCCTTTTTAAAAATTAGTAGTTTTGGTAGAACATGGGGGTCTCACCTAACTCTCCCCCTCTAAAATAAAATTGGTAATCTCAGATAAAAAGCCCAGCTGTCTAACTAGATTTCTGCAATAATAGGGATGTTCTGTATCCATGCTAATTCAGTAAGCACTAATCTCATATGGCTTAAAACACTTGAAATGTAGCTGGCTTGAACTTGGAACTAAATTTTTGTTTAATTGGTTTAAAATGACCACATAACTTGTGTCTACTATATGAATAGAGCATTGCATGGATTGTGGATTTATTCTGTGTGAGATGGGAAGTAGTTAGAAGATTTTTGAGCAGTGGAGTGATACAATCCCATGTGGGTTCTAATTTGCTAGATTACTTATATTATCAATAAATTTAAGAACAAGGCAGTAGTTTGGAGAACAGGGATGAGATTATGCTGGCTGGAACTTGGTCCATAGCTGTAAGGAAAATGTTATCAAATTGTGGATAGTTTTGCTAAGATTTCCTTTTATTTAGTGTGTGTGTGTGTGTGTGTGTGTGTGTGTGTGTGTGTGTGTACTTCCCAAGTATGGAGATTTTAGGTGTGTACCCCATGCCTTCCTGCAGTTTTAACCTTTGCTTATTAATATGTTTACATGACTCCTCAATTTTAGGAATAAGAGGAAGAGTTTCTCAGTTTGTGGCTAACTTACATTCACTTAATTCAAGGACCATCAGACCCTCTTCTCCCACCCCCCAATCTACTTTTTCTTAAAATCAGAAGTAAAATACACAGTAGATCTTATTGAGCATTGTTACAGATGGTGGTGAGAGTTAGATATCTTATCAGTCTATTTATTACAGAACAGTATTTCATAAGAGGAAAACATGGGGTGGACATGGGAAAGAAAGGACTATTTGAATGTGTTTATGGTTACCTGTGCCAATAGCTTAAATATTGTTTATTCTAGAGAGCTATATGTCCAAGAACTCTGAAGATGATGGGCTGACAAAAGAATCTAAGCGGTCTGTTCGAAAACGGGGCCGAAGCACAGATGAATATTCAGAAGCAGATGAGGATGATGAAGAGGAAGGCAAACGATCCCGCAAGCGGCTACACCGTATTGAGACAGATGAGGAGAGCTGTGACAATGGTCGTGGAGATGCAGAACAGCCTGCCCATGACAACCAGCCCAGGGTCCTGCCCTCAGAGCAGGAGAGCAGCAAGAAGCCCTATCGGATAGAGAGTGATGAGGAAGAGGACTTTGAAAATGTGGGCAAAGTAGGGAGCCCATTGGACTACAGCTTAGTGGACTTGCCTTCCACCAATGGACAGAGCCCTGGCAAAGCCATTGAGAACTTGATGGGCAAGCCAACTGAAAAGTCGCAGACCCCCAAGGACAACGGCACAGCCAGTGCAAGTCTAGCCCCCAATGGGACAAGTGGTGGACAGGAGGTGGGGGTCCCAGAAGAGGATGAAGATGAGCTTTTGCGAGTGACTGACCTTGTTGATTATGTCTGTAACAGTGAACAGTTATAAGACTTCTTTCCATTTTGTGCTAATTTATTCCACGGTAGCTCTCACACCAGCGGGCCAGTTAGTAAAAGCTGTTTAATTTTTCCTAGAAAACTCCACTACAGAACGACTTTTTAGAAGAAAAATTTCAACAAATCCCGAAGTCTTTCTGTGAAGTGACCAGTTTTGAACTTTGAAGATTAATAATTGCTGTAAATTCCTTTTGATTTTCTTTTTCCAAGTTCATGGTCCTTGGTAATTTCATTCATGGGGAAAAATCTTATTATAATAACAACAAAGATTTGTATATTTTTGACTTTATATTTCCTGAGCTCTCCTGACTTTGTGAAAAGGGTGGATACGAATGCATTCCAAATCTGTGAGGGCCCAAAACAGGATTTAGGGTGGGAGAAAGCACTTGTGCTTTAGCTTTTCATATTAAATATATATTATATTTAAACATTCATGGCATAGATGATGATTAACAAACTGTTTAAAGGTTCAAGTCTGTACTATTGCAGTTTGAGAATTGTAGATACATCGTACATACTTCACTTAGTAATAGCCTTCGTGAAATCAGTCTGTTTACTCTTGGAGTTATCACACTTTAAATAAAGAAGAGACCATGGAAGTACCATCATAAAAACACTTTAACCTAAGTTTCTGTTATAGCAGGCTTTCTTGTTTTAAAAACACACACACAAAATCATCTGAAAAGCATTTGTATAGTAAATTGTATAATGAAGCTTTGACAGCCAGTTTGTGCTGCAGGAGGTCTCAGCAGCTTTTATGCTGTGATAATATATATGATGGCCTCTACTACACTGTGTCAGGTGGGAAGTTAGTGAAATGAATGTGGACTTTGCTGAAATGCAGGTACACTATAAACTTTGCCAGTAATGAAACTCTTCTGGCCATATGATGTTTACTGAGATGTCATTTTGAATATAATACATCTAAATATGACATATATGGAGATACTAAGCTGACAGTGGTATTTTAGCACATTTGAAGATTGAGAAGGGATTTTCAGGTGAATTTTAACTGGTCTGTTCTTGCCCTTAGTATCTACTTCAAATTGAAGTCTACAAACAAAGCAGTTCCTTTGGGAGGTGTTTAGTTTTGAGTTAGAGAGAGAGAGAGAGAGAGAGAGAGAGAGAGAGAGAGAGAGAGAGAGAGAGAGAGAGAGAGAGAGAGAGAGAGAGAGAGAGAGAGAGAGAGAGAGAGAGAGAGAGAGAGAGAGAGTGCGTGTGCGTGTTGGAATTTTCTATCTGCCTGGATACATTAGCAGGGTTTGAATGTAGTTCTGGCCTTTGGCCATTATATACTTCTATTAAAATCCATTTATAGTCACACAACCAACAGAACTGAATGAGAACCGCTGATATACTTAATAGACATAACTTCCATTTTAAACATCTCAACACTCTAAGGATTCGCCCTTTGCTTCAAGAATTAGGCGGTTTTCCAATTAAATAATGTAACATAGCTGACACTAACATATGAACTTCATCTTAGTTTCTGTTACAGTTGTGAAGTTTCAGGCACAGCCCTAACCCTGGACAACTGTAGCATTTGTGATTCTTGCCTGGCACATCCTGAAGCCTTTAGCATTGCTTCGGTGTGTGCTCTTGCCCTGGGATTCGGGTTTTCTGATCCAGTGTCGTCTGTTGCCAGCAATAGACATACCGTTTCTGCTGCTGGCCCAAGGAACTTCATTTTTCTTTTCAGATTAAGCATTATATGTGGTAGTCAGTGTACAGTAAACCACTTCTTTTTTATCATTAAAAGCTGGCATTAGACTTGTATCATAAAGATCTCTCTGGAAACTTTATGCTCCTACTTTCTGTTCCTCAACAGATATTGCCCTTAAATCTTACCTTCTGCCCTTTAAAGTTTAGTGCTGATTTTTTCAGTTACTGAATGTTTCATTTTAGTTCTGTAGAACTTGTCCAATAATATTTTTGCTTTGATTCTAGTGATGAACTTGTATTTGTGTAACAATGAACAGTGAAAGCAACCTTTAAAAAAAAAAAGATGCAGCAGCTGCTGCTACAAAACCAGTTGTGGTTTTATCTTGAAACAGTGTTGTGCTGGAAGGACCGGGTGGGCGTGTAGTCACAGGAAGCAAAGGACTAAAACAGAGCCCCATTCACTTGTAAAACTTCCTTTCTAGCTGTTTTATTTAAAAATGAGCTAAGTAAACTTTTTAACTGTCTAGAACAGGCAGGCAGAAGGATTCCTACTAGTGCATGGTACGTGGTTCCTGCCACCCTGTCTCAGAAGGTGTCAATCCTGCAGCCAGGTAAAGCCACTGTGGTGTAGAAACTCTCCCATGTGCCTGTCTCTACCTCTGCACACACCAGCTCTTGCATCCACCTATCAATTCTACTCATCATTTATACAGATGATTAGAATTAGTAAATGAGTAGCTAATGCAACAGCATGCGGAATGTGAAGTAACTGCTGTTATGGAAAACCCACAGTAATTTTTACAGTAAAGACTGAGTATTCCACTTAGCAAATGTCCCACTGACGGGGTTTCAAAACCACTTTGTGCTATCTGATCCTTACTAAACTTGTACCAGTGTCAGCTTGATACTGAGTGTCTCCCTTCTAACCTTACATTCTCATTAAACCAACTGGCTATCAAGAGTAATCCAGGCAGCTAATACATACTAATTCTTAGTATCCAGAGAGTTCTGCTGCTTGGCTTTGTTGTTTCTGTTCATGCTGGAGATTGAATCCAGGGCTTTATGCATGCTGGGTAGAACTCCTGCCTTGTTTAGTGTTTAGAGTCAGTCCCTCAGAGTCTGTTATCTCTCAGAAATACTCACTTGGAAGATGCTCCCAATGAGGTTTCTGTTGCTGCTGTCAAAATAAATGTTCTGTATCAAAAATTCTGATACAACCATTAAGAACTGGAGAATGGAAAGGAAAACAGTAATGTAGGGATCAACTATCTTCAATCCATGATAGATTCAGATTTACAATATATTGATAGAATATCTCCTTTTAATAACTTCAGTGACCCCCCCCTACCTTTTCAAATACAAGTGTTGAACTTGTATTAAGCTCCCAGTATCAGACTCTTAGTCTACAGCATATGCATTTTAGGAAGATGCAGTATAGTATTCAAAGTGTTTAGTTTGCCATTTCAATAAAGTTGAAAAACTAGCCAGATTTCTAAAGTCCAAGAACTTAGAATTGAAATAGTGTAGGTAAAGGACTCAGACTGGTTTGTGCCTGTGTGGTGATGAGATGGTGTTTATTGTAGAATGTTACTGGAAAGTGATGTGTCTTTAACAATACACATAATACACTGAGGTTATTTCGTCCTTGACATCTTTCTCCAGTTGGAAAAGGTTGTTATTCAGAGGATAAAAAGGAGTTTCATTAAGAATGAATTCATGGGCCGGGTGTTGGTGGCTCACACCTTTAATCCCAGCACTCGGGAAGCAGAGGCAGGTGGATCTCTGTGAGTTCGAGGCCAGCCTTATCTACAGAGCGAGTTCCAGGACAGCCTCCAAAACAATACAGAGAAAGCCTGTCTCAAAAAACCAAAAAAAAAAAAAATGAGTTCATGTTCATAAGTTTACTGGTAACTTATTTTTTAAAAAGTAATCTGCCAAAGAACCAAGAACTTCAGATACTAATGATGAAATTGTGGGGGGGAAAGGTTTTTAAAAGAATGTTACTCACTTTTCACTTTCTAGTTGATAGAACCTATCCTATATAAGACATTTAAGCAAAGTGAATATATTAAGAAAAATGTGGACACTTCTTTAAATTGAGAGTAAAATGCTGGCAAGTATGTTAGTAATCGTTAAGTGGGATGGCTGGAGTTCCCTTTGTCACAGGAATGCCCGTTTGCCCTCATTTGTAGGCAGAGGTGTTGTCCACTTACTAATTGTTCCACCAGAGGACAAGAAGCACCTAACAAATCTTTTTAACACTCAGATAATGCTGTGACTCCACTGTCAGCTGCCGCAGCCGAGCAGATCTCTAGTTCAGGACAGTCTCAGCTTTAGAACAAAGATGAAGATTTTTCTTAAGAGAAAATGTGTATACATACACATTCTGGATAACTACAAGAAAGGTGAATTCATCATGAACTGACATAAAAATATAAAGCAAATAGTTGTGACAAAATTATGAATATGATTCAATTATAGAAAGTTTAGAGAACAAATAGTTTTTGTCGGTTTGACATTCTCAAAATATATTTCTGGTTCTCTTAAGAAGCAGAGAATGCCAAAACCATATGTATGCTGTAGTCTACATAGTCCTTGTCTGTTTTAACTCGATCCATTATTGAACTCTGAGAATAAAATTCATTCCCATTTTATCCACCATTCCTAGTATAACCTTGGAAGTGGCAAGCTAATTACTGGTTAATTTCCTCACTGTTTGTATCCTGATCCTGAGAGAAAACTGCTTTCTTCAGTTTTTTTGTTTTGTTTTGTTTCTGGACAGCGTTTCTCTGCCCTGGCTGTCCTGGAACTCACTCTGTTGACCAGGCTGGCCTTGAACTCAGAGATCCTCCTGCCTCTGCCTTCTGAGTGCCGGGATTAAAGGCATGTGCCACCACCGCCTGGCTTCATCCAGTTTTTAAACTGGGTTATTATGTTATGCTTCCACTTAATTTTCAAAATATTTCAATCTAACTTAAATTATTTAACATCTTTTGAGTGCCAAGGTTTGCTAGGTAACTGGCTGCATTAACACTGAGGATAAGTCATTCCCATGTAAACAGTCATAAGCCAAAATAGACTTGGTGCAGAACCACTTTAGATTGTACACTCAACATGTGTTCCTCATACAGAGCCTCTCAGAAGGTGATTAGAACAGAGTTCCCTTAATGTTTCCACTCCTTTTGGTCATGTACACAACTCCTTGCCCCATCTCATATTTCTACGACTTTGCTCTGGGAGATGCTGTTCTGGCACACTCACTAGTCTAAGTTCATGGAGCTGTTGCTTTTATCTTAGTGCTTCAGATATGTCTGTCCTATACAATGTATGTGAAAGAACATAAATTACCAGATGAATAGGGATTTACTAAGCTCTAGACATTCTGAATGAGAAAAAAAATTAAGAAACTGTATTTGTGGGCTTGGTTTGGTTTTTGTTTTTGTTTTGCCAAACTGGTACAAGCCAGAAAATGTTCAAAGGACTGAATAACCTTCTTTGTTTTTGCCACTGGATGATATAAGTTAAAGTGAGCTTGTTTAACTATATATTTTCTTGACTTTCATCAGTTCAGAAGGAGTCTAACTTAAGTGTTTGGGGTTTGTTTGACCTGTATTTATTGCATCCTGGTCCAAGGCCAGGAGCCTGCATGTTATGTTTATGGACAACCAGAACACAGTCATTGTGGAACTTAATGGCTCAAGATCTTCTAAATCATTTAACTTATTTTGTACGTTGCGAAAAAAGAAAAAAAAGTTTATTTTGCTTGAGAGTCACATTTTTTTATAACTGTACAGCTTTTAAGGGATGGGAGGTGGGAAAATGCCCTACAAATAGGATGTAGATTTTTACAGTTGTGTTTATGGTAGAACATCTACAGGAGCATTATGTAATTAAACCTCAAATTGTTTAAAACCTTGTGCCATGGTCTTTTTCGTTCTATTGCCCTTTGGCAGAGTTGGTGCATGTCAATACTGCACTGCTGTATGGACAACCCTTGAAATTAGATCAAAACTTTTTTCCAAGCTTTCATACCATTGCATGAGTATACCCCCGAGCCACCCGTGTGTACATGCTCACACACTCACAGAGTTTATATTAGTGTAAATGGATCTTCAGGATCAGTTCAGGGGTGACATCCCAAATCTGGCAATCGGTAGCATATTCTTTCAGTGCATGCCTGTGTAGTGCCTGTCTAGGGTATTGTTGATGTTGGTGTGTTTTGTTCTCCTATTAAAGTAGATTCTTGGTCATAGCATCTAGATAGTACCTTGCCTAAAACTCCCATGAGGATCCATGTGCACTTTAAGAAGGGATGTCCTATGGAGGTGGGAATGGGGCAGGGCTAGTTTCTTATGTGTAAAAGGAAAACCTAGAATTGTTTGACTATTCCATAGACTTACCCAAATAACTTGCTGAAACTTGGGAGGAAGGGCCATCATGTTCAATTTTTCAATCCCTCCTTATTTGGTAAGTAATTTTGCAATCTCTTAGAACTGCTGTTGGTCTTCATGGTACATTTTACCACGCTGTCGCCACACCTTTTTAAATGCCAGTACTTTTTTTGCTATCTAATTTTACCATTCTAATTTACTATTGTAAAGCATAACTATTCTTACAAGGAATTGAATTCATCTAAATGTGTCATAGTTTCTAAGTAACCTTCACCTGTTGTCAACTAATTTGGGAAATAATTTTCTTTGCTGTCTTCACCCATTTAGAAGCTTATGGGCCATGAATTTCAATGTGAAGAGTACAAATGCCAGATAAGACTTTGTAAATTGATGCCGGGCAGTGGTGGTGTACCCCTTTGGTCCCAGCACTCGGGAGGCAGAGGCAGGCAGATCTCTGTTAGTTCGAGACCAGCCTGGTCCACAAGAGCTAGTTCCAGGACAACCTCCAAAGCCACAGAGAATCCTGTCTTGAACACACCCCAACACACACACAAAGAACTTTGTAAATTGTCTTACTTTTGAATCTCACTTTGATTTTATAAAGTAGTAACTAAGTCCCAGGAAGCATCCAATCAGAACATGTCTTGGATTTCCAGATATGCTTAAATGAAATACTTTATTTTCCCTATGCATAAAATATAAAATATTGGAATAGTTCTCAAAATACTGTTTTTAGATGACAGCTGAAGCAGAAGCTCCAAGATTAGCTTCAAACTAACTCTTGATATAATTAGGACCATGCTGTTAGTCAAGGAGAAGCTGGAGTGCGTTGGCGCATAGTGTAGAACCGCATGTTTAAATCAAGTGCAAAAGGATCTGGAAACTGGAAACACGATTCTGGTAACACAAAGTCTGTGTGAGAAGCATGGCAGGCCCTGAGAGCGCAAAGCTTCGGGAGTGTTAGGACTGTAGTGCATAGTTGTTTAAATAAAATATTCCTGTGACAACCAAAATATGTTGTGGCTGATGCCAATATTTTCGTTAATGAAATGTTGAATGTCTCATTACAGTCTAATCAGAATTCTCAGTGTAATAAGCCAGGCCTAAGCCATTTTATAGCTATTGGCCTAACTGTAACTTTTTTTTTCCAAAATGTTTTATTATAATACTTGTCATTTCTTTCACTTAATATATGTCAATTGTTGTAATAAAAAGTTTAAATAAGTCAATGTACTTAGCATTGTGTTTGAAAACTTATGTAAAACATTCAGAATTTTCACTATCTGACTCATAAAGGGTTAAGATGGTCTGTTTCACCTAGGAATAGACTATTATTCATGATCTAGGAAGCAAATTTGCAAGTAGACCAACTTCCTCAAAATAGTTTTTAAGCCTATTTATCAGCTAGGCCTATACAAATGACACCGTCATTCTTGCTTGGTTTCTGTTACTTAGCCTCTGGAGAGTTGACACATTACAGATCCTGGGGCTTTGTTCTGCACAGTTCTCTGAGAACACAACCTCACCAGAAGTCAGCAGCAAAGGGCAAAGGTTTTCAGTTCCTTTCCTGGCAGGGGCATGGTGTGTATGTACAATCACACACATAGAAGAAACGGAGTGGGAGTCTCATCTAAATGCTGATGCCTTTCTTAGGGCACCTAAAGTTTTGTTTTGTTTTTGACAGCAAGCTAGCAGAATCTGTCAGTACTTGAAATTCTGACTCTAAACTACAGATTATGTAAAGGATATCATCAGGATTTTACTTAATGGAATAACTGCTGGCTTATGATGGTAAGAAAATGGTTAGTTATATTCACAATTTGAGATTTTTAAACAAACCAGCTAAGAAGTGACAGTGCCCCAAATGTTTTTTGTTTTTCTGTTTAATGTCTATTTGTCTGCTTTTTGGCATTCTATTTAGTAGTAGGGCACCTGTAATTATACTATGACCTCTCCAAACAACAGATTTTACTCTACTATAGGGGTCAAAAAATAAAGAACTTGGGGCTGAAGAGATGGCTCAGTGGTTACGGGCACTGGCTGCTCTTCCAGAGGACCCAGGTTCAATTCCCAGCACCCATATGACATCTCACAACTGTCTACAACTCCAGTTCCAGGGAATCCAACATCCTCACATAGACATATATGCAGGAAAATACTAAATGCATATATAAGTAAATAATTAAAATGAAAAATGTAAAAAAATGATGATAAAACTTCATTAGGACATGTGCCTAGGTTCTAATAGTCATTCTTATCTAGTAACGATAGATTTGTAAGCTTAAGTCTATAACCAAAAGGCAGGACTCTATATAACCCTCTTATCTTTGTAGGTCTGTCATTTGTTTCCAGGTGATGGTTTACATTAAAATGCTGGAGTCTGACTAAAATTACCATGACATGGTGGTGCACTGCAATAACAGCACTCAGGAGACATAGGTAGGGGTGTCACAAGTTGGAGGCCAGCCTGGGCCACACAATAAGTGCTAAAAGTAAGTCCTCAGCAAGTCACTTTTTCTCATCTTTAATTTTAGCTGTAAATGGTCATAACAGCTACCCTGCCTACCCTCACAAAATTACTATAAAGGAGATAATGGGTGAGGAAATCACTTTTTTTTTTTTTGGTTTTTCGAGACAAGGTTTCTCTGTATTGTTTTGGAGGCTCTCCTGGAACTCACTCTGTAGATCAGGCTGGCCTCAAACTCACAGAGATCGGCCTGCCTCTGCCTCCCGAGTGCTGGGATTAAAGTTGTGTGTGCCACCAACGCCCGGCTTGGAAATCATTCTTTTAAAAAATAAAACCCTGTACAGATTTAAGGCATACTAAGTGCCTAATACACTATCCACAGGGATTTATATGAGGAGCAAAAAACACAAACTTTGCTCTTCCAGTACTTGATGCTGGCCTGTCTGTCACATTTGCTTAACCACCGCCTCTGCCTGGCAGTATGAGTTCTTGGAGGGTTCACTCGCAGAGCTAAAATCCCTTTTTTCAGTTACCATCTTGAAAAATGCTATTGGGCTATCACTATGTAAAAATGACTAAGACAAGGTAAGAAATTATTATAATGGTTTTAGTCAGTTCTCATGTGTCATACATGGGGATTCCATTTCTGAGCAAAGCATTGGTTGTTTCATCAAATGTCTTAGGGAAATCTCGAATTGATTGTTTCTCAAGCTGATTTTTTTTTTCTAAGTACTGGGGATTCAACTAGGGCCTCACACATCACATGCTAGGCCAGTAGCTCTGCCTGAACTCTGTCTGCTACCTTGGAACCTCCTCTGAAACCTTTCTGAATTCTCCGAGTTAGAAATATAAGCCTACACCTACTCAACTTTTGAAAGTGGAAATTTAAAAATGATATTTAACCTCTCCTTTTTGATTACTCTGTCTACCCCTTCACAAGCTCCTCCTCTCAATCTGTATCAAAAGTATGAGGATTTTAACCTTCGGAGAGCTCTAGATGACTCTTGTCATCCCCACCCTTACTGCCACCTTCTCATCTATTCCAGGGCAACACCTTCTCGTGCCTGTTCCATGCTTCCCTCTCCTAGTCTGCTACCAACAAACTAACCATATTTAAAACCCTAACCCTTGGAACTGGATCGATGGGTCGGCCTGTGGGAGAGCCTAAGGCCTTTGTAGAGGACACAAATGGGTTTACAGCACCCATGCAGGTGGCTCACCACTGCCTGTAACTTGAACTCCAGGGGAATCTAATGCCCTCTTCTGGATTCTGTGGGCACCTGCACACACACACACACACACACACACACACACACACACACACACACACACACACACACAGACTTAAAAAATAAAAACAAATCTTAAAAAACAAAAACTGAAGACTCTTCTGTTGAGAAAAAAACTGGAAAAAAAAGAAAACCAATAATCCTACATGTTATGTCATTCAACCTAAACAGCCCTAACCTCATAGCTATAACAACTTTTTTAAAATGGTTTTTCAAGACAGGGTTTCTCTGTGTAACAGTGCTGGCTGTCCTAGAACTCATTTTGTGGACAAGGCTGGCCTAAAATACAATGAGATCTGTCAGCCTAGGCCTCCCAAATGCTCGCCTGCCTGGCTGCTGTTATAATTTTATAGTAAAAAAAAATTTTGGCTGATTGAATTCCATCCACTGGCTCTCTCATTTCTAAACTCTAGCTTGTGAGTTTAATGCCTCAGTCTCGTGTGTAAAACGGGGTCAGTTGATAGAAAACTTGTTCCTATTACTTATCATAAAGAAAAAAAACATGAGTTGAGCAGATGTAGTGACGCTTGCCTCTGGGTACTGGTACCCAGAGGAGGATGCACGTCGATAAAAACAACAGACAACAAGACTCCATGAAGAAATGAAGGCGGTAAAGTGCTTACGCTGTGCGGTACATAGCGGCCGGCTACCGGTATCTATTTACTAAGTCTGTAAGTCTTCACTGCGCTCATTCTTTGGGGCCTAGCGAGTTCCAGATCAATGGCTGCCTGTCCCTTCGGCGCTGTTCGGACTGTCTCGGCGCGCTTTCGTTCCTGTAACGTAACCTCTTTGTGCTCCTGTGGCGTGATACGTGGGGATGGGGTGCTGCGAGGACTAAGACGGAGGTCTGGTGCTTGGCTGTGTGAGCCGGTGACATCAGGCCCGATGAGGCGGCAGCAGGGAAGAACGGTGCACCCAGCCGGGGCACTTCTGACCTCCGGACGCGTGTGGATTCTATCTCCTGTGCGTTCTCCTGGGCCCGTTCCCGGTTTTGTTTTGGAAGGCATAGCATTCCTCAAGCATACTCTCTCAGGGGTTTGCTGCGACGACCTTGAAGCAGAACCACAGCGAAGGCACTGTTATTCTTAAGCCTCCTCAGAGGAACGGGGCGGGGCCGGGGGGTGGGTGAAGACCAGTATCACGTGACAAAAGCCAGCCGGGTCGTCACGGACCTCCGGTGCGTCTAGACCGTCCAATCTCTATGGTCAACGGCTCGCCGGACCCAGCCGGGGGAGGAAGTTGTTCTTCCGGGATAGCGCTACTGCTTCCGGGCCCTGGGCTTGTGTTGCTCGGCGTCTAGGATCGTGCGGAGCTAAGATTTCACCCGCAATGAGCTTCCTCAAAAGCTTCCCGCCGCCTGCCGCGGAAGACGGGCTCCGGCTGCAGCAGCCTGACACCGAGGCTGTGCTGAACGGGAAGGGTCTCGGCTCCGGGACCCTTTACATTGCGGAGAGGTAGGGTCCCCGGGCTCCGACGCTGGCCTCCATCGGGGGCTCCTTCCTCCCTCAGGGACGACCTCGGGGCTGCTGCGGGGCACGGGGAGCGACGCTGCAAGTATGGTGGTTGAGAGGGATCCCCTCTCCCGATCCCACCTGGCTCTGTTCTCTAGACGGTGTTTCTCCTTAACGACTGGTGCTTTTTACCGGCCTGCCTTCTGGAGCCTGGCGCGTGATCACGTTTAGAGTTTTGAGTTTGCAGAGCCTCTGTTAGTTTTCCATGTGCCTGACTTTCTGAATAATCTTGTGAGCTACATGTTTTTTCCTGCGTAAGATATGCGAGTTCAGTGTAGATTGTGAAGGGTTTAGGACCTTTGGTTAATGAGCATGGAATTTTCTGCTCTAGGTGTGGGTGGGAGCATCTTCGGGCCCACGCAGGATGGGGTCATCCAGCCGAATCCGACTCCTGGATGTGCGCAGGTCCTGGAAGGAATCTTACTTTTATTTGACTATCTGCAGCGCTTTGTACTTTCACAATAAGGTAGATATGTCACTGGAATACACACACACACACACACTCACCACTCCCCCCACTCTTCCTGTCCTTCAGAGTGTCTGACTTGCCTTTTGCTGTATTTCGTTTGTCCTCCACGGAGAACATCCTTGGCTTTTAGGAGCTCGTGGTATAATTTCGGGCCTGACTGGAAAATCCAGGCTAGTTCCCTTATTTCACTGTCAGTTGATTGTCACCACGGGGGGGGGGGGGCAGTGAGAATGAGAATGAATATGTATTAGAATAACTTCCAGGTATGGTCCAGCTACTCCAACAATGGCTGTCAATGAATGGAAAGTCCAAGAAGCCAGAAGTTCTCCAGTCCACAAGGCTGGGTCTCTCAGCTGGACTCCCACTTTAAGATCTGTATTACAGTCTTTCTGCCTCAAGATCCAGATTAGAAATGTGTCTTCCAATGGGTGGTGGTGCACACCTTTGATCCCAGCACTCAGGAGGCAGAGGCAGGCAGATCTCAGGCCAGCCTCATCTACAGAGTGAGTTCCAGGACAGGCTCCAAAGCTACACAGAGGAACCCCATCTCAAAAAACCAAAACAAACAAACAAACAAACAAAAAAAACGTACTTTGAGCTTAGAAACAATGGCTTCTTTGCGTCTCATTCCAAAAATAATTTTAAACCAATTAAGCCAACCCAAGTTCAGGGTCTCTTTTATTTTCCTGTGCTGTTTTTAACCCTTCATCAAAGGTAAAAGACTCTGCTTGTTCTTATTCATAAGTATCAAAGTTTAACAAAACATTTCCCAACTTGTGTTTCCTACTCTTTTAGTTCTTGTCCTTGCATTTATGAAAGCATTTATGACACTTATTTTTAATGATTGGTCATAGTTAATTATATATCTTTGTTTTGGAGTACTTCTAGAATATGTGAGAAGAGACAAAATAGAATTAGAACTCAAGTCAAATAAGTATTACTTGCAAGTGCCAAATCCATTTCTTTATGAGCCTCTCAGAGCTCATAGGAACACTGTGCAGAGACAACATGCTGTCATCCTTAGGGGCTAGAGAATGATTTCAGCCTTTAAACCAAAGGCCATACTTTGCTAGGTACTGATTTGATTTAGATGCTAACTTTTCTACTGCCCGGTGGAGTTAATAAAGGCTTTATGGCTCTGAATATTTGAAATTGTTTTGGGTGGGTAAATCTGGAGTGTTCCATTCTAAATTGTGGTTCCGTCAAGAGATTTTTGGAAGTGAGAAAGGAAACATAGTTTGATATGTCTCTTCTCGGTACCCATGAGCACGGTTTCATTCCCACATTAAAGAAGAGCTGTGGGTGGGAAGGGAGGATTCATGCAGCACACAGTTACATAAGAAATCTGGTCCTTTAGAAGCAGTAGGGATGAAATAATTCCTCAAACTATTTTTTCCCCTGAGACAGGGCTTCTTTGTGTAACAGCCCTAGCTGTCCTGGAACTCACTTGCTCTGTAGAACATGCTGGCCTTGAACTCATAGAGACTGACCTGCCTCTGCCTCCCGAGTGCTGGGATTAAAGGTATGTGTCACCCCCGCCCAGCAATTCCTCAAACTTTCATCACTTTGCTATTTAAAGTTTATCCCCTTAACCCTCTTTTTATTTATTTTTTCCAAATAAGCCTAATGTGTGGAATTCTTTTCAATAACTGCATCTTTTCTTGCTTTTAATTTTTAAGTATACCATTAAATAGTATAGCTGGATGGACCAGCTTGGTCTACAGAGTGACTTCCAGCACAACCAGGGCTACTCAGAGACACTGTCTCAAAACATGCCCCCCCCCCAAAAAAAATCTTACTATGCTTATAGAGTTGTATGTTTATCACCATAATCTAACACATACCTTTGCTTTTGGTCATGCTTTTGCTGAGGATTGTGTTATGTACTTAGGTTAGGTTAGACATTGATTTACTTGGTGATAGTGAGTTCCTGAGGCATAAAATTTAGTGTCCTCTTAAACTGACCATGAATGATTTTAGAATGCCCTGCTGTCGTTCCTGCCTAAAGGAGTTATTGACTCTCTGGTTGTGTATTTTTGTTGTTGGTTTTTCTTACCTTGGACAGTGACTTTTTTTTTTTTTTTTTTTGGTTTTTCGAGACAGGGTTTCTCTGTGGCTTTGGAGCCTATCCTGGCACTCTGTAGACCAGGCTGGCCTCGAACTCACAGAGATCCTCCTGCCTCTGCCTCCCGAGTGCTAGGATTAAAGGCGTGCGCCACCACCGCCTGGCTGGTTTTCTTTGATTTTAAAAATGTTATTTTATTTGCATGGTGTTTTGCCTGAATGTATGTCTGTATATCATGTGTGTTTCAGGTGCCTGTGGAGGCCAGGAGAGGGTGTCAGATCTCCTGCAGCTAGAATTACAGATCATTGTGAGCTTGGAATGTGGGTGCTTGGAATCGAACCACTGAGCTGTGTCTCCAGCCCCTATAGTTTTTTTTTCTTAAAGCTGGTAATAAATGGGAACTTTTACCTTGTCTCCTAAGGCAATAATAATTTTTTTGAATTGTGATTGTAATCACATCTGTTTTGTGTGTACATCATTTAACGTACGAGGAGTGGAAAGGTTGATGGCCAGTTATCTTGCATGCTTACCTACTGAGAACTGTGCTAACCTTTTGAAGAATGTTAGGTAAAGGATGGAAGTAACGGAGTACAAACATGGCTCATTAGCATACTTAGTGCTAATGTGTGTTACCAAGCACGAGTGCAGTTTGGAACAGAAGTGGTCCTTGTAAAAAGGAGTTCTCATGGAGTTATTGGGGACTTGACTAGGTGAAAAGAGCTGCACAGCAAAAAGGATAAAGGAGACATTCTAAATAAACAAGAATGAGCACAACAGACAAGCACAGGGAAGGGGCCAAGAGCTGTCAAGAGCACATGTTCTTTCAGAGGACCAGAGCTAGATTACCAGTACTCGCACGGAGCGTCGTCAGTCTCCCTAACTTCAGCTCCAGGGGATCTGACGCTCTCCACCAGTACCCACATGCACATACACATAGAGGAAAAATAAACACAGATGACTTGTCTCTCAAATCTGAGAATTTCTAGCTAGAGGAAAAAAAACAAAAGAAAAAATTCAGTTCTTGTTACAAAGTTTTCTTCTTTTAAGGAGTATTTCTAATATTGTCAATAAATTTGAATTTCTTTCCATGCATAAAAGTGTCCTAGTTGAACCTTTATAAATTTTGGAATATTAGGATTTAATTTTTAAAAATAATGTGCCTAAACCATGTTTTTCAGCCGCCTGTCTTGGTTAGATGGTTCTGGATTAGGATTCTCACTGGAATACCCCACGATTAGTTTACATGCGGTCTCCAGGGACCCAAATGCTTATCCTCGAGAGCATTTATATGTTATGGTGAATGCCAAATTTGGAGGTATGTATGGTGTAATGTAATGTAGTCCTTACTCTGATAGCAAAGTATATTTTTTTATTTTAATTTTAAATAGCTTGTTTTACATGTCAATCCCAGTTCCCTCTCCCTCCCCTCCTCCCGCACCCCCCCACAATCCCCCAGCCTCCCACCTATCCCTACTTCCTTCCACATAGGGGATATCCAGAGTCTGTCATTTCACTCAGGGCAGGGTCCAGGCACTCCCCTAAGAGTCCAGGCTGAGAGAGCATCCCTCTTTGTGTTATGGACACACGATGTCTGTTTGTGTGCCAGGGATAAACACTGATCCACTGCCCAGGGCCCCATAGGTAGCCCAGGCCTCCTCACTGACTCTCACATTCAGGGCGTCTGGATCAGTCCCATGCTGGCCTCCCAGCTGTCAGTCTGGGGTCCAAGAGCTCTCCCCTGTTCAGATCAGCTGTCTCTGCTGGTTTTGCCAGCCCATTCTTTGCCAATTTGCTCATCGCTCCTCTCTCTCTGTCACTGGGTTCCTTGGGTTCAGTTTAGTGTTTAACTGTGGGTGCAAAGTATATTTTAAAGGCAGTGTTTGTTTGCTTGTTGTTTTGAGATGAAGTCTTACAGGTTGTTTAGGTTATCTCTGAACTCCTGGACTTGGGTAACTGTCCTCATCCTCCCAGATGCTGACACTTTAGGGGTGCCACTTTACCAGTCTGTAAAAAGCAGTCTTTGATAATGCAAATTTTAATCTGTTGATCCACATTGCATAATATCATACTAACGTTTTATAACTCAACCATAACACCAAGTAAATGCGACTGTGGTTTTATAACTGTTAATCAGTGTACTATTGCTATGACAATAGATCTTAGGCCATCATTTTAATAAGGGGAGGACTTATTTTGACTTGTAAATCACGGGTTTCAGTCAATACTCATTTGGCCGTGTCTTTTTTATTTTTATTTTTTTTTTATTTTCCAGTTTAAATTTAGATAAGAAACGAGGTTGCTTCACAAGTCAGTTCCAGGTCCCTCTCCCATTCCCTCCCCTCCTCCCGTGCCCTCCCCCCTGGCCGTGTCTTTGAACCTGTGTTGCCACAGCATGTCATGGTAAGAGCACATGGTTGAGGAGACTTTAAGGTAATGAATAGATTTGTTCATCTTATGACAGCCAGAAAGCAAAACTTAGAGGGCTTAGAGTTTGCATTTGCCCCTTCAGGATAAGCCTCCAGTGATCTAACTTTCTGCATGGCCTCACCTCCTGCAGATTTTAATGTCCACTAGCACCACAGGCTGGTGACTAAACCTTTTACTATTCGGGTCTTTGAGATTACTTAAGACCCTAACCATAGCAGTAAGTAGGAAAATTAGGTGTTGTTTAAAATGTAAAACTTTAAAAGTTCTCTCTCTCTCTCTCTCTCTCTCTCTCTCTCTCTCTCTCTCTCTCTCTCTCTCTCTCTCTCTCTCTCTCTCTCTCTCTCTCTCTCTCTCTCTCTCTCTCTCCTCTCTCTCTCTGGTTTTTTTGAGACAGGATTTCTCAGTGTAACAGCCCTCGCTGTCCTGGAACTCTCCTTGTAGACCAGGCTAGCCTTGTACTCACTGAGATCCACCTGCCTCTCCCTCCCGAGTGCTGGGATTACAGATGTGTGCCACCACTGTCCCGTTTAAAAGCACTCTTGTTAGTCAGTCCAAACACCGATGATGTGTTGGAGCTAGCGGTGTGACTCAGTAGTGTGTTGTGTGTTTAGCATATGTGAAGTCCTGAGTTCAAGCTCTACCACCAAAACCAAAATAAATGTTGCTGCATGATGCCCCAACTTTTACTTGTCCAGCAAAAGTCCAGTGAGGTAGGGATTCGGTAATACTAGATAAAAGTATAAATCACCCCTAGTAAGTACTCTGCCTCACTTGCGGTGTTGAGTCATTTTCTCATGAGTCTCAGTTTCATTTAAAAAAACAACTCTAGAGGATTATGTTAGTCTCACTTTCCACATGGCCTCATCTCTTAAAGAGTCTACTGACTCCCAGAAGCACCACAGACTGCTGACTAACCCTTTAATGACTGTTGGGAGCCTGAGTACTGCTGGGTTTTGTTCATACTGAGGTTTAAACCAGGGCCTCGCTTTCAGTATTTTCATACTATTCTGCACTGAACTTACATTAAATAAGTACTGCATTAGTGGATGCCCCGTGTTTACCTTGTCAACCTTACCGGATGGAGAAAACTCAAAGATACTAGTAAAATGCACTTGTGTGTGTATCTGTGACGGTATACAGGTATCTCCAGAGACATTTCACTAAGGGAGTTGAGGGTACCCAGATGTGCATATCAGCATCAGTAGTCTGGGTACCCAGATGGAACAAGTGGGGACGAAGGAAGAAGACTGTTAGGGTGGGTGTTTTCACTCTCCCTCATCCCCCTCACTTCCCCTGCCCTCGCTGTTCCTACACTCTGCTTCCTGGCTGCCGTGAGGGAAGACTACTCCATCTGACCCTCTCTGCCGTGATTCAGTTCCCTAACATGGACCCAGCTGCCCATGGTCAGCCCCTGACACCAGGAGCTGAAATCAGTCCTTCCTTCTTTCTGTTGACTGCTCAGTATGTTGTCACAGTGATGAAAAACTGACACACCCCCTGCAAGTACATTTCCTGTGTTAACAAGTGTTTCTCCACTTTATCTTCATCTGCATGGATGATTATTTTTAATGCTAGCTTTAAATGTAAAGGTTTTTTCTTTTCTTCCTTGCCCTAGCTAAGGGTTGAGTCCAGGGCTTGGAACATGCTAGACAAGCACTCTACTCCTGAGTTGCATCCCCAGCCTCCTCTACCCAACCCTGCCCACCCCTTTTAAATTTTTTGTTTTGAGATGGTCTTGCTAAAATGCCACAGTTATCTAACTTTGAATGTTCCTCCATTACCCTCCTGAGTAGCTGAGACTATAGGCATGTTCCACCACGTCAAACTCAATTTGTGTGTGCATGTGGAAGCCAGAAAAAACTTTGAATTTGGTTCTTTCCTCCTTTAAAATAGGCTCTAGGGATCAAACTCACTATTGTAAGCAGAACCACCTCACCAGCCCTTAATTTGTATTAAGTTTGCTAATCTCAGCAAACATGTTTGCTCTTTGGTGGGGTCATAATAAAGTTTTTTCATAATAAAGTGGTTCAAACATAAAAAAGTATAATTGCAGGGGTGAGCATACAATACTGTCCACGCCCCAAAGGAGTACAGGACAGGTGGTATATAAAGGAAAGAAAAGCAAAAGCTTCTCTCTTGGAAGCCGGCCATGTTTCTCATTTTTCCAGCTTGTGTGTAAATGCTTTCTCCTGTTAATAAAAATACTGCTTTCCCCATTGCATTGGTTCCTTTTCAGCTGGTGAACCTGGAGGTGTGGGTTCGAATCCCACTTCTGACATCAGCTGAAAAGGAACCAATGCAATGGGGAAAACAGTACACTTAACCACCTGTCCCCCGTACCCTTGTCCATGGGGGCGTGGGCAGTATTGTGGGCTCACCCCTACATATAACTTTTTTTTTTTTTTTTTTTTTTTTGGTTTTTCGAGACAGGGTTTCTCTGTGGCTTTGGAGGCTGTCCTGGAACTCACTCTGTAGACCAGGCTGGCCTCGAACTCACAGAGATCCGCCTGCCTCTGCCTCCCGAGTGCTGGGATTAAAGGCGTGCGCCACCAACGCCCAGCTTACATATAACTTTTTTTGCTGGGGCAGGGAGACAATTTCTCTCTGTAGTCCTACCTGTCTTACAACTCATTCTGTAGACCAGGCTGACCTCTAATTCAAGAGATTTGCCTGCCTCTACCTCCTGATTGCTGGGATCAAAGGTGTGTACCACCACCACCTGGCTAGAATAATTTTTTAATATTTAGTATCCAGTATAAAGTCTCTCACATTTCCCTAGTTACTATAAACTTTTAAGGGAAACTAAGTAAATGCTGTTGAAAGCTGCCCCTTTTGTGGGGAGGAAGCAGGATCTCTTTTACTCATTGTATAGACCATACTGGTCTTGAACACACAAAGCTCTACCTGCCTCAGCCTCTGTTTACTAGAATTAATAGGTGTATGCCACTATGCCCAGTTTGAAAGCTGTTTTGTGTGGAACCCCATTTCATCCTCTACTGTCTTACTCAAGTTAAATAGTGTTGTAAAGGTAGTTTGTATGCTTCCTACATGTGCTTTTTTTATTATTATTTTATGTATATGGTGTTTTACCTGCATGTATGTTTGTGCATTCCATGTGTGCCTGGTGCCTGTCAAGGTCAAGAAGAAGGAGGCGGATCCTCTGGCACTAGAGTTACAGACAGTTGAGAGCTGCTATATGGTTAAATGAGCCTGTGTTCTCTGCCAGAGTAACAAGTGCTTTTAACCACTGAGTCAATTCTCTAGACCTCCTATATCTGCTTTTAACTTTTACTGAATATGCCTCCAACCAATGTAATGGTTTAAGATTTTAATTAAATGGTATTATGCATTCTGCAACTAGCTTTTCATCCAGCTCTTTTGGAAAAAATGTATCTGTGTTGATACATATGTAGCACTGTTCATTTTTCCAGTGCAAGGCCTTAAACCCAGGGCCTACTATGCAAAATGACTACTCTACCAGTAAGCTGTTATTTTCAGCTAATTGTCTTTGAATGTTTTTGTTATATCTACAGACTATTGATTTATCTGTTGGTGGATTAACTTTCATGAACTTGAAATAGTCTCGTTTGAATGGTGCTGTATTGGTGTGTTACAAGTGGTGCTGTATTGGTGTGTTACAAGTGGTGCTGTATTGGTGTGTTACAAGTGGTGCTGTATTGGTGTGTTACAAGTGGTGCTGTATTGGTGTGTTACAAGTGGTGCTGTATTGGTGTGTTACAAGTGGTGCTGTATTGGTGTGTTACAAGTGCTTTGTTGCTGAGCTCAGCCCCAAAACCTTTCCCAACTCTGAAGTAACCAGCAGCAAAAAATTGAATTGCAGTATTTAGATATACCAATACATTTCCTAATTTTTCTTATTTTTCTTGTTTTATGTATTTTTTTGTTTTTTTGAGACAGGATTTCTCTGTGTAACAGCTCTGACTGTCCTAGAACTCAATTTGTAGACCAGACTGGCCTTGAACTCTGAGATCCGCCTGCCTTTGCCTTCCAAGTGCTAGAATTAAAGGTGTGAACTACCACTGCTTCTAACCCCAGTCCAGGGCATTCTAATGCCCTCTTCTGGCTCCTGCATACATATTGAGCACGTAAGCTTATGGAGACACACGTAAGTAAATCCTTCAAAAACCTTTAATGTCTAAAATGATTATTTTTATTCCTTTTATAGAAGAATCAAAAGAATCTCTTTCTGATGAAGATGAGGAAGACGGTGATGATGTTGAACCCATTACTGAATTTAGATTTGTGCCCAGTGATAAGTCAGCATGTGAGTTCTATAATACGATATTTTGTCTTTATGTTCTCCTCTCCCACTGATAACACACATACCTTCATTGTGGTTACCTGTGGTTACCTCCTTCCTATTGCCTTATCTTCATTTTGGCCTCCTTAAAGTCATTGAGAGTGGTTACTTACTAATGTCAAAATGTGTGACTATAGTAAAAATATTGTGGACAGCGTGGCACCTGGTCTGTTTTATGCAAGGAGGATTCTGGTTAGTGTTATTGACTGATGTTGCTCACTGAATGTCACCTGTGGGAAGTACTTCCAAAGCTGGAAATGCTGAGACTGATGAAAAGTACCCTGTCATGTGACGGGAACATTATCCTAACCGACAGTGTGACCAATACTCTGACCTTCTCTCTCTCTCTCTCTCTCTCTCTCTCTCTCTCTCTCTCTCTCTCTCTCTCTCTCTCTCTCTCTCTCTCTCTCTCTCTCTCTGTCTGTCTCTCTTTTTCTTTTGCCCCCCCCGGTCAGGCTCTCTGTGTAGTTCTGGCTGTCCTAGAACTTGCTGTGTAGACCAGGCTGGCCTCAAACTCACAGAAATCTATATGCTTTTGCCTCCTGAGTGCTGGGATCAAAAGTGTAAGCTACAACATCTGGCTTGGCCTGTTTTCTTAAATCTAACCTCCCATGAAGAGATCTCAGTAATGTTTTGAACTTTTACTTTGTGACTTTTGGAATAGACTGCACTTTTCATGATCAATTTTTATTTGAACTTTGCAAAATTTTATAAATATTGTTACTCTAGTAAACCTTTTGTCTGCTTTTAAATTTGTTTGCACTGATGATTATTTATTCTAAAACTTGGTGATGCACTGGAAAAAAATATTAGTTACAATTTAATGTCTTTGCTCAGTGGAGGCAATGTTCACTGCAATGTGTGAATGCCAGGCCTTGCATCCAGACCCTGAGGATGAAGACTCTGATGATTATGATGGAGAAGAGTACGATGTGGAAGCACATGGTGAGTGACATTGCTCTTAAGTGTTGGTTTTGGTGTTTCATTTTAAGCATGTAGTTACACTATTTTAGTTTTTTGTATCTCCATAAAGTAACAATGTAAGATGGTGATAAATAAAGGGGATGATACATTGGCTCACTTTATGCCTAGGCCCTTTCAGTAGACAAATTGAGGAATAAATGTATTTCCCAAGCTCCAACAATATTAGGGCTAGGGGCTGGATAATTGAAACAAATAGGAAAGAAAATTAATAGCTAGAAAGTGGGTAGTCAAGAACGTACTTTAGGCTGAGCTGGCTGCCCCCACTCCACCTACCCATTTAGAAGTCTGTTCATATGTATCTCTTCAAAATTATTTTTTATTTTATATCAATGGGTGTTTTCCTTGAGTTTATGTATGTGCAGCACATGTATGGCTGGTGCCCTCAGAGGCCAGAAAAGGATGTGGGAACCCCCAGAACTAGAATTACAGTTTAACTGCCAGCTGGGTGCTGGTAACCACACCCCAGTCCCCTGCAAGAACAGCTTAAGTGAGAGTCATCTCTGCAGAGTCCTGTTGATCTCTTTATTCACATATTTCTTAAAACAGCTTATGGACAATATAATTTTCTTTTCTCCAGAATCATACTTCATTTATATCTATAAATATTTCCCCTTGCTTTCCTAGGCCAAGATGCATTCACTCACCTGGTAGGCTTGTAGCCAGAGGCACAAAATGTTCTATTAGCATTTCCCCTCTGGTCTTATGCACACCGTTATAAGTATCTAAAGTCTTTTCCTACATATGAATCCAGTTCCTATCCTGAGACTACCCGTTTCTGGGATTGTTTTCACATACATAAGTGTGTGTTCACTTCTTAGAGATTTTTTTAAGTGATTTTATATTTTGTCCTTTTTATATTTTTTAGATTTTCTGATTTGTTTTAAAAGGAACATTTGTTAATTGAAAATCTTGCCAGGCGTTGGTGGCGCACACCTTTAATCCCAGCACTTGGGAGGCAGAGACAGGCGGATCTCTGTGAGTTCGAGATCAGCCTGGTCTACAGAGTGAGTTCCAGGACAGTCTCCAAGACAATACAGAGAAACCCTGTCTCGAAAAAAAAAAAACAAAAAACAAAAACAAAGAAAGAGAAAATCCCTGCAGTGTCAAATTAATTTGTATTTACTTGTAAAATTCCCACCTTTGGAATAATAAAGGATTCATTGATTTTAGAAACATTCTTTTTTCCTTCTAGACCTTAGACAAGTCCATTCTCTGGGAACTGATACTCACTAGTTTATTATCTCTTAAATGTTTTCTCAGCTTAGAGGGTAGGGATGTTTTTTCTTTTTCTTTTCTTCTTTGAACTCTTTTATACCTATTCAGTAAATTTTGGAAGTCCTTCTAGGAGCCTGTATAGCTTAGGCAAATGCATTATTGTTTATCATTTTGGATTTTCCTCCCCAACTGTTGTGTAATAGCTTAAAAAAAGCTTTCTGTTTGTTTAGAACAAGGACAGGGGGACATCCCTACATTTTATACCTATGAAGAAGGACTATCCCATTTAACAGCAGAAGGGCAAGCCACATTGGAGAGGTTAGAAGGAATGCTTTCTCAGTCTGTGAGCAGCCAATATAACATGGCAGGAGTCCGGACAGAAGATTCAGTAAGAGATTATGAAGGTGAGTTCTCTCTCTTTGGGGTAAGTAAACAACTATAAGGGAAATCTTAAACTGGAAGGCAATGAAATATCACAATTAACATAAAAGCCTAGGAAGCAAATGTAGAATTACTAGAATGGGAATGTTTTTGTTGTTTTGTGTCCTGTTCACCCTTGCCTCCCAAACTGTGTCAACTATACAAATGTTCTAGGGCCAGCAAGATGCTCAGCAGGTAAAGGTGCTCTCCAGACACTGTATGGTGGAAGGAGAAAATGGACTGTGTCTATATAGTAGCATAATAGTAAGACATCCCTAGGGCCTATGACTGGCCCATCCACAATGTTGGTCCAGTTAATGGTACTAGGCATTATTCCATTTGTGGAACAGGTCAAAATCCATTCATAGAGTGTGGTCTCCTTTAACATTCATGCCATTGTTGCACCAGGGGCCTGTCTTGCCAGGCCATTTATTAGTGTAGCTCTCGGTTACAGCTGGGTAAGACATCCATTTCTTCTCTCCCACGTTAATGTGGATAGCACCTTAGAACTAGCCAGAGAGATACTGCCAGATTGGTGTCAGCTTGATTTCTCTGTGTTCTATCACTCGGGGATGTGGTGTCTTCAGCAATAGGCTCCTTTCTAGCTTTTTTTTATTACTTAAGATGCACATGGGATGGTGCATGTGTTACTATCAGAAGGCAGCTTCTGGGAGACAGGGTCTCTTTGCTGTTCTGCAAACTTTGCTGTTCTGGGCTTTATGGCCTTTAATCTTGGGTGTGATTCTCCCATCTGTGCCTCCCACTTCCATCTGTAGCACTGTAGGAGTGCTAGAATCCAGCTCTACATGGATTCCCAGGACTAGGGCAGCTCAGGTTATCGAGCTTGCACAGCTATCACTTTGGCTTGCTGAGTCATTTCCCCAGCCTCCATTATTCAGTTTTGGCTCTGAAGGGATGACGTTGTTTACCCCAGGTATTGGCAGTACTGTACCTTCTAACCTCAAGCTGATTATGTGCCACTCCTGGATTTAACATTTATATATATTTACTCATTTAATTATTCTAAGAACTCTGTTGAATAAATTTATGATCCCCATCTTACACATTAGACAGCTGAGGCACAGAATGATTGCATTGGTTGTGACCAGACTACTGATAAGTGGTAAGAGGACTAAATGAGCCATTATATAAAAATATGCCTGCCACTGTCATAAAGCACTTCTTGCATTTTTTGTTTGTTTGTTTGTTTGTTTGTTTGTTTGGATTTTTGGTTTTTTTTAAGACAGGGTTTCTCTGAGTAGCTTTGGAGCCTGTCCTGGAACTTGCTCTATAGACCAGGGTGGCCTTGAACTCACAGAGATTTGCCTGTCTGCCTCCCAAGTGCTGGGATTAAAGACCTGCACTAGTACCACCCGGCACACTTCTTGCATTTTATATGTGTTTAATATATACTACTATTTTATGCTCTGGTAACATCATAACCCTTGGCATTTTTAATGATTGCAGGATATTCTTGAAGTGGCCTTTTTTAGTTTTTTTTCTATTGGTATACTTAGATTTCCCATAATGCTAAGATTGCTGTCTCCATGCATATAGCATATTGGCCCAGGGTTCTTGGAATTCTGGTCTATTTGGGGTTGGGGGCAAGAATTGTGTCTTACTATATTGCCAATGCTGGTCTCAGACTAGTAAACTCAAGTGGTCGTCTTATCCCAGTTTGCAATATTACATATCTAGTTGATAGGGTGCCAGGGGGGCTTTTGGCAGAACTTTGTGGCAAAGAGTTGAGGGGTGAGTCAAGAGTGACAAAGTAAAGAAAGCAACTGTAGACATTTCTTTTTAGAGCACCGTTTTCCTCTGTCCTCCTCTCACACCTTTTTAAAAATGTGTGTGTGTGTGTGCGTGCGGCGCGAGCGTGCATGTGATTTTACCTGCATGTATGTCTGTGCACCAGTTGTGGTTAGTGTCCTTGGAAGCCAGGCAGGGGTGTCAGATCCCCTGGCACTGAAATTACAGACAGTTGTGATCTGCCATGTGGGTGCTGAGAACCGAACTTGGGCCACCTGAAAAAGCAGCTAGTGTTTTTACCTGCTGAACCATCTCTCCAGCCTTCACCTTTTCAGTGAGATGACAATAAAGGGGAGATAAAATTTCTTTTTTCCGCTATGCTGTGTCTTGGGCTTTTTGAGTATAATGCCAAATGCCTTTAAATAATGTCTAACAGTAAATACTTCATACAGTTCTCTAAAGAATGAACAGTTGATGCCTACTACATTTGAAAATTCCTACTAGCAGACATCCTAGCACTTGGGAGGTGAGCCTGGACTATACTGTGAGTTTGAACCAGCCTAGGGTACATAGCAAAACATTGTCCAAGAAATTTTAAAAAGTAAAAACAAAGGAAAGACATAAATTGATTCCTACCTAGAATTTCTGGGAGTTGTGTGATGTTACCAATTTATAATGTTAAGTAAATGTTAAATTTTGGACTGATTTTACTTGACCTAAATCCACTGGAGCATTTTCTTTTCAGTCTCTCTCTGGGTAATTTAGTTTTCAAAATAGAACGTGTGAAATGGAGGCATGAGATAGCCTGGCATGGTACATCCCTGCAATTCTAGCAGGGAGGAACTGAGGTCAGGAACTGAGGACAGCCTTAACTGCATGAGAGCCTGTTTTTAAATCCTGTTATTTTTATTTTATATTTTGAGATTGGGTCTCACATATAGCTTTGGCTGGCATGGAACTTACTACACAGACTAAATTGGTCTTAAACTCATAGTTCTATCTGTCTCTGCCTGAAAAGGGGTGAAACTAAAGATAGGCGCTATCATGCCCAATTTTTAAAATGTTAATTCTTGCCACTAGAGGACACTGACATCCTTGTTAAATCTGCCTTTTTGTTCAGATGGCATGGAGGTAGATACCACACCAACTGTTGCTGGACAGTTTGAAGATGCAGATGTTGATCACTGAAGATTTATACTGCTAAACAGTGAGTAGCTTATTCTCTCCTTTGTCACAGCACATGAAAATCCTGTGAAATGACTGTATGGTTTTAATTCACAATTTAAGAGAACTCTGTATAATGAATGAACTCTGTAAGGTTAGCAGTTTGAAAAAAATGTCGCCATCATCTCTAGTTAATGAAAATTACTTTTCTTTCCCCTAAGAAATCAAAAGTTTGTGAACATTGTAGTATGGGTTTAATATCTACCAAGCACTACACTAGGATGGTAAAGTACATGTATGACAAAGAATAAGTGAATTTATGAGAGTAGCAGTTGATGGACGCCATCTGTTGGGAACAGACCTCTCTGTTGACTCGTGTAGGAGTGACAGCCTAAGCATGTCTTGGTCTGCTCCTTGAGTCACTTTTTCTATTTGTGTTAGTTGAGCCCTGTTCATGGTTTGTTGCACCTTACTGCTTTCAATTCAGGGAGGAAGTAATGTAATTCCAAACTGAGCTTAAGACATTATAATCCTGTATTGCTGCCTCTCTTTCTGGGAGCAATAGGGGATAGATGTCCTATGTACCGTAGTGTTCGAGGCTGATTTGTCCAGAGCCACTGTTTCCCTGAGTTCTTTCCTGACTGCCCTTCATGGTTTACATACTGGCCTCTGCCAGTTTTTTCCTGGAACATTCTGGTAAACTTGGTCTTAAGTTTGTCCTTGAGTATTTACTACTCTGCAAACCCTGAGAAATGTGTTGCCTTTTCCCGGTGTGAATAGTTAGGCTGTCCTTTGTTAGATAATTGAAGGTCAAGGACTAGCAGCTACAGAATTCTTTCTTACTATCTGCAAAATTTTTCTTTGTAAAATTGTTATTCCCCAGGCGTTGGTGGTGCACGCCTTTAATCCCAGCACTCAGGAGGCAGAGGCAGGAGGATCTCTGTGAGTTCCAGACCAACCTGGTCTACAAGAGCAACAGAGAAACCTTGTCTCGAAAAACCAAAAAAAAAAAAAAAAAGCTCTCAAGGCTCATTTCTTTGCCGGGCGTTGGTGGCGCATGCCTTTAATCCCAGCACTTGGGAGGTAGAGGCAGGCGGATCTCTGTGAGTTCGAGGCCAGCCTGGTCTACAAGAGCTAGTTCCAGGACAGCCTCCAAAGCCACAGAGAAACCCTGTCTCGAAAAAAACCAAAAAAAAAAAATTGTTATTCCCTTTTCCCTGTAATAATGTGGTCCTTCCTTCTAAATACTGACTGTTTCCCAGCCTTTTAGCCAGTGTTGTCTGGGTCCTTTTATTTTATTAAAGCAAGACAAGACAAATGTGTATAGTTTGACTTGACGCTGCCATGCCATCATCAGTTGTCCAGTTGTGCTCTGAGTACCTTCACTGTCCCTGCTGTGATTGTGACGCAGTGTCAGAGCACTTGCCTAGCACACTCCACCCCTTCAGTTCAGTAGGCCTCAGCTCTGGGGAGGGGAAAATTCCCTTTGTCCCTTGCTTTGTTCTGGTGTAGATTTCATTCTGAACCGTAAGATTATCTTTTTATTGACTTGGGAATTTGAACTTTTCACTCTGCTACCCTTGTTCTGTTTAGAAGCCAGCCTTTAAAACCCCAGTGTTTGGGCTGCAGATATGGCTCATTGGTCAGCAGCACTTGCTGCTTTTGCAGAGGACCCACATTGCAACTCACAGACATCTGTTAAGTCCATTCCAGGAGGAGCCGATGCTCTCTTCCAGCCTCCACAGGCACCGAATGCACATCTGTCTACACATCCATGCAGGCAAACGCCCATACACATAAAATAAAGTTTTGGGTTTTTTTAATTCCAGTGTTTACAAATTATTGTAGTTGTAAAACTATGAATTATAACATTGGTTCTCTGTTTTCTTCTAGTATTTATGTCTCATCTCATGCCTTTAATCCTAGCACTTGGTAGGCAGAGGCAGATGGATCTCTGAGTTCTAGCTTGGTCTGTGGAGTGAGTGCCAGGACAGGCTCCAAAGCTACACAGAGAAACCCTGTCTCGAAAAACCAAGAGAAAAGATTATGTAGCTAGTGTTCTGCCTGCAGGCCAGAAGGGAGCACTGGATCTCGTTATAGATGGTTGTGAGCCATCATGTGGTTGCTGAGAATTCAGGACCTCTGGAAGAGCAGCCCTCTGAGCCAACCCTCATCGCAGTCTTCATAGGGTTTTTTTTTGTTTTTGTTTTTGTTTTTTTTTTTCCAGTAGCTGTCATTTGTAAGTGTATTATTGGCCTCGAAGACAGTATTTTGTATAATCTGACTTTCCCATATTTCTTTGAAAGATTGGCTGCTGAGAGATTATCATTCTGTTTGCAGCCATCATGAGAAATTCAATTGATATGCCACCAATGGTTATACACTGGGATTCTTGGAGTCTTTTTAATGGTGAAATTGCTATGAATACTCTAATGAACTGCTAGTTTGTTTTCTGTTCAGTTTATCCTTTCTGCTCAATGTCAAATACTACATTCATAAATTGTATTCATGCTCATCTAAGTAGTTGACCTGATTTCTAAACAAATGTAATTTTAATCATTTAAGATTGTATGTGCTTTTAAAACCTGAACAAGGACAAAAATGTTCATGTAACCATTACTGATTTCAAAATAATGGACCTCTAGATACATGAGATAGGGTACAGAATATCATGCAATCATAGCTCCAGCAGTGACATGTATGTGCACACTACCATCAGGATGTGGCGCATATATAGCTTAACCATTCCTTGGTTTTCTCATCTGTAAAGTGGAGTGATAATGGCTGCCTGGAGGGCTTATTGCAAGGCCTGAGAAACAGTCTGGAACCCTACAAGGCTACACTAAACAATGGCTATTAATAATAACAAGTGTAAACCTTTTGTCTTTCAGATTCTCTCATAACAGTAAGCAAGAACTTGGTACCTCTTCCAGTCCAGAGTGGGGCTGGTGAAAGGCTTTTTTCTTCTCCAAAACTTACTTTGCAAGACAGACTATAAGAGACAGCAAGCTGTCACCAGCAGAAGAGACTGAGACCTCTGTCAACAAAGGTGAATGAACTGAGTGGGTATTTGTGGTACTCATTTACCTCAAACTTCCCGGGTCTAGGTGTCTTCTGCATAGGCCTTTGCAGTGCGCACATCTGTCAGCCAGAAGGCGTACGAGGTGAAATTTACAGAGCTCACTGTATAGACTGGGTGAGAAAGACGCCGAGGAGAGAGATACAGGCCTCAGAGGGAGCAGAGGCATGGGCCCTTTACTTCAGGCTGACTCTAGGTCACCTCTGGAGAACACCTCAGCCACACCTTGCCAGGACATGATCCTTCTGTGCTAGCTTCTGCCTCCTCCTCATTCCCTAGTTGCTCTGTTACATTCTCCCAGCTTAGGTCCTTGACTGTCTGCCCTCTTAGCTTTCTGTAACATAATAAGTAATCTGGAATGAAGTCTGCAAAGTACTCTTGATGTTTTTGTCTTTGTAATAGTTAACAAATAAATTTAGGTTTTCTATATCATTGTGGCTTTGTTCTTACTAAAACCATTAATGAGAAAAAATTCAGATTTATTTTTATTTTATGTATGAGTGTTTTGCCTATGTGTATGCATGTGTAACGTGCATGCCTAATGCTCCTGGAAGTCTGAAGAGGGTGTTGATGCCACTGGGACTGGAGTTAACAGACATTTGTGAACTGCCATATGGATGCTCGGAATTGACCTTAGGTCCTCTGTAAGAACAGCAAGTATTTTTAACTGCTGAGCCATCTTTCTAGCCCAGCACTTGTGCTTTGGAGGACCTGAGTTCAGTTCCTCCATATCTATATTGGGCAGTTCACGGCTGCTATACTGCCAACCTCCTCTGGCTCCCCTGGGCATTCAGATAAACATGCAAAGACATATGTCCATACATATAAATAAATAATAAAGTGATGCTGGGGCTGTAGATTAGTTGCTATAGTGCTGATCTAGCTACGGGAAGCCCTGGGTTTAGGTCCTATCATTTTATAAACTAGGCCTGGTTGTATATGTCTGTAATCCTAGCACTCAGGAGGTAGAGGTAGGATCAGAAACTAAAGGTCATCCTCAGCTAGGTATCACATAAATACAAAAGTAAAATATTAATACTCGGGGGCTAGAGAGAAGTCTCAGCAGTTAAGAGCTTGTACTCGGCAGAGGATCCAAGTTTGTTTCCTAGCCCACATGTCAAACAGCTCACAGTCAACCTGTATCTCTAGCTCTACAGGATCCAACAGCTCTGGCCTCCATAGGCATCTACACTCATACTTATGTGTGCATGGAAACCTGAGACTGACATTCCGTCTTCCTTACTTGCTCTCTACATTATTATTTTTTCTTTTTTTGAGACAGCCTCAGTGTGTAGCTCAGGCTGGCTCGGAACTCACTCTGTAGACCAGCCTGGCCCAGAATTCTCAGAGATCCACCTGCCTCTGCCCTCTTAGTGCCGGAATTAAAGGTGTGTGTCACTATGCTCATTTTTACTTTTAATTATCTATATGTAAATGTGAGTGTGGTTGCCTAAGGAGGCAAGAGGGTGTCAGATCCCCTGGGTCTGGAGTTACAGGCAACTATAGGCTGTGTGATATGCTGGGAAGCGAACCTCAAGAATAGTTTGCACTTTTAACACTGAACCATCTCACCGGGCAGTGGTGGTGCATGCTTTTAATCCCAGCATTCGGGAGACAGAGGCAGGTGGATCTCTGTGAGTTCAAGGCCAGCCTGGTCTACCAAGTGAGTTCCAGGAAAGGCTCCAAAGCTACACAGAGAAACCCTGTCTTCAAAACAAAACAAAAAACACTGAACCATCTCTCCAGCTCCTCCCTCCTTTCCTCCCTCCTTCCCTCCTTTCTTCCCTCCCTCTCTCCCCCTCCCTCCCTCCCTTCTTTCCTTCCTTTTGTTTTTCAAGACAGGGTTTCTCTGTAGCTTTGAAGCCTGGCCAGAAGTTTTTCACTGAGTTTCTCATCCTGCAAAGTAAGCCAAAAAAATTTTTTTGCCTTTTGTATATTAAAATTGGATTTTCGCCAGGCATTGGTGGCACATGCCTTTAATCCTAGCACTCGGGAGGCAGAGGCAGACGGATCTCTGTGAGTTCGAGGCCAGTCTGGTCTACAGAACAAGTGCCAGGATAGGCTCCAAAGTTACACAGAGAAACCCTGTCTCAAAAACAAACAAACAAAAAACCTGGATTTTCAGAAGTTCTGAATTTGTTAGAGTAAGCCAAGTAAGAGGCCAGTTGAAAATAGAAATTAAAATTTTCGTAGGACTTTTCAGCAGCAGCCACTGCTCTGGTTCTTCCCATATATGGTGTGTGAAGCGGCAGTGATGCTTTCAGCTCCATGTTAGGAGGAGGAGCTGAGTCCTGGAGAGAGGACTCCCCTAAGTTCTGTGAATATTGAACTGTGGATTTTAAGCCTATTTTCCAAAAACACAGTACAGCCGTAGTATCTACCAGCAGCCAGCATTCAGTGCAAACTCCCTTCTACAATTCCTCTGCTCTCAGTCTAAATGCACCCATAATTTATCCTAGGAAATGTGCTCATTCTTCAGTAGGGGCCACGGCTTTCTGATGGGCTGGTTGTAGAAACTTCATTGAGTATCTTTCTAACGAAGTGGTTCTTAAACTGAGTTGCATCCCCTTTGGAAGTCAAATGACCCTTTCACAGGGTCACCTGAGACCATCAGAAAACACACATTTACATTACGATTCATAATAGCAAAATTACAGATATGAAGTAGCAACAAAAATAATCTTATGGTTGGGGTCACCACAACATGTGAACCATATTAAAGGGTTGTAGAATTAGGAAGGTTGAGAATTACTGCTCGAAAGGAACAAGTTTCAGGAAATTATGTGCACTCTTCCTTCTGTGGGGTTTACGGTGATTGACTTGCTACTGCAGGTGACACAGTCAAAAGGCGGGGAACCAGCTGTCACTTCTACTTTAGTAGACATCTGTGTCTACTCTGTCACCTGTAAATGAGGGTGTGATACTTCAAAGACTTGACTATCATTCTGTAATGCTAGACAATTAGGACTATAACCTTGAAGGGGAAAGATCAGGTCAGGCTACTTAAAAATGAAACTCATCAGCTGGGTGTTGGTGGCGCACACCTTTAATCCCAGCACTCAGGAGGCAGAGGCAGGTGGATCTCTGTGAGTTCGAGACCAGCCTGGTCTACAGAGCGAGTTCTAGAACAGCCTCCAAAATAATACAGAGAAACCTTGTCTTGAAAAACAAAAACAAAAAAAAAAGAAAGAAAAAAAGAAAAGAAACTCATCCTGCATCAGGAGGCAGAGGCAGGTAGAGCTCTAAGTTCAAGGCCAGCCTGGGCTACATAGTCCTAGGCCAGGGCTACATACCCTGTTTCAAAAATGAAGGAGAAATAATTTATAATTATCAGCAAGCCAACTTTTTTGTTTGTTTTTTTTTGTTTGTTTTTTTGTTTTTTTTGTTTTTCGAGACAGGGTTTCTCTGTATTGTTTTGGAGGCTGTCCTGGGAACTCGCTCTGTAGACCAGGCTGGCCTCGAACTCTCAGAGATCCTCCTGCCTCTGCCTCCTGAGTGCTGGGATTAAAGGCGTGCGCCACCAATGCCTGGCAGCAAGCCAACATTTGCTGATCCTTATTTTAGCTTTGTTTTTTCATTTTTGAGCTTAATTTTGTGTTGCTGAAATTGTCCTGCTTACATAATTTGTAGACATTCTTGTCTTCAGTTTGACTCATTGAAATGTCACAGAAAAGTAGGGTTAGCGGTTCTGTTTTCAAGTCTATCATTAAAAACAAGCAAAACACCATTGAGAGCACTGATTGCTCTTCCAGAGCATCCTATAACTTCTGACCTTGAGAGGCACTGCATACACTTGGTGCACAAACATACATATATACCAAACCCACACATACAGTCTGGTGTCTAGTTGGAAAGGTTCCATAATTTCAAAGGAGAAGTCAGAGACTAGGTATAGTGTGTAATCCCAGCACTTGGAAGGTAGAGGCAGGAGGCTCAGGAGTTTGAGCCTGGCCTGGACAATGAAACAGACCCTATCTTTTAAAGAGAAGTAGCTGGAGGAATAAGGGAGCTAAATAAAGTATATACAGGGTAATTGATACTGCTTGGAATTTTTTGAGATTGTTTAGAGATTATTAATCATTGGTATACATAACGTGCTTATCATAGCTGTGCCTAGAAAGTAGCTCAATAGCTGTTCATTATTGGCAAGGTTAGTACTGACTTCATTTAGTTTTTTATTTATTTCAAGGCAGGAGTGGGTAATGCCTAGACTGGACGTGAGTTTGCCATGTAGTTTAGGGTGACCTTGACCTTTTCATCGTCCTGCTTCTACCTCCTAAGGAGGACATAACTGCCACAGCCAGTCTTTATTTTTTTTAAAGATTTTTTTATTTGTTATGTATACACTGTTCTGCCTCCATTCCAGAAGAGAGCACAAAGATTTCATTATAGATGGTTGTGAGCCACCATGCAGGTGTTGGGAATTGAACTCAGGACCTCAGTGCTCTTAACCTCTGAGCCATCTCTCTAGCCCCACAGCCAGTCTTGATAAGGTTCTAAGGGATCTAGCTCAGGGCCCTTGCATGGTAGATGGACACCGCCAACTGAGCTGCATCCAAATCCTCATATTGACTTCCTCAAGAGAAGCTGTAACTAACCCACCACTGAGGTTAGAGTACATCTAAGAAACATGAAATACAAAATTCCACTAAGCAGTTACACATCATAGAGTCCCTGCTGTTTTACCAGCACCTGCAGGCCTTGCACTAGTGTCTGTTTCCAGAACAGCAGATGAGAAGAGGGAAGGAGTTGTGGTCACGTCAACAAGAGCAATGAATTAATGACAGCATTATGATGAAAAGCAAATACACAATCCTTCCAAATAAACAGTCTAAGTACACTGCAGTACAGAGTTAAGCTCTCAACATGGAGATGGCATTTTCATAAAATAACAGAATTGTAGTCCTAAATCCATTCAAATGAAGCTAGCTTAAGCAGGAAAGAGGCCATTAAGAGAACTGAAGCTGTAGCTTAGTGGTGGAGCACTTACCTAGCATGCACAAAGCCTGGGTTAATCCTCAGCATCACTCTCAAAAAAATTTTAAAAACCTGGACAAAGCTGACGTAAACCAGGTCCGTAAAGGGAGTTAGGGACCAGAGTAGTTCCATAGTGTGAATCCTTTGCTGGTATTAAACAGGTTTTTGTTTGTTTGGTTGGTTTTTTTCGAGACAGGGTTTCTCTGTGTCTTTGGAGGCTGGAACTAGTTCTTGTAGACCAGGCTGGTCTTCAACTCACAGAGATCCATCTGCCCCTGCCTCCTGAGTGCTGGGATTAAAGGCGTGCGCCACCACCACCGGCTGTATTAAACAGGTTTAACTGTTATCTTGTTCACCACAGTCAAGATTCGGTGTTAGCCTGTAAGTATGTGAATTGCGAAAACCAGTGATCATCTGGCCTCTTCAGCTCTTGTAATAGAAGCACACGGGGCCTGTCCAGACTCACACAGGAAGGATTTGTAAATGCTCATTTATGAGAAATGTACATTATCTACTGCAACTGTGAGTCTAAAGTATGTGTGTATGGATGGGTGGATAGAAAAAATCGGTTGATACTGTGTTCTGTTGCACATAGAATAAGCATACAGTTGCATTTGGTTAAGTTGTAGTTACCATGTGTTAGTATGATAGACAGGGAAGGGAGCTAAGGCTATAGCAGGCGTGTTTGTGACAGTGACTGTCTAAATGACTTAAACTATAAGTAGTAAAGAATGCTTGATCATTGGAGATGAGGTACTAGAGGGAGCTAGAGGTTAGAATTGGAGGGTGGATTACTTGAGCATAGATTTTGTTTACTGATAATGACAAGCTTGTAGCTAAGGGGAGCTCAGAGCAAAAGACACAATATCAAAAGATAAGACAACCAAGGACATTGGAAGGGTCCTTTTGTGGGTTTCAGTTACCAAAACAGAGTAATGTAATGTTCCACAAAGACACGGGAACTAAGACATTAAAAGGGGGTGGGAAAGATGGTTCAGTGGTTAAGAGAACATGCTGTTCTTCCAGAGGCTGGAGCTCAGAACTGCCTGGAACCCTATCTAGCTCCCGTGGATTCAACAGTTCTCTTCACACACATGGCATATACTCACACAGACACATTAAAATAAATTGTTTTCTTTAATGAAGGAAAGAGCTGTTTATTTTGGTTTAATGGTTTCAAAGGGACCGGAGTCCGGCATCGCAAGTGGCAGGCATGGTGGCAGGGGCAGAAAGCTTACAGAACGCATCTTTAGCCACAAATACTCAACAGAGAGCAAAACCGAAGCAGGGCTGGGCTATGTACTCTCAAAGCTCGCCCCCAGTGTCATACTTCCCCAGAAGGCTGCACCTCTTAAACCTTTCCAAAATAAAAGAATACTAGCAAGTCAAGCAGCATTGAGGACAGGAACTTCCACCTCAAGGCCCAGAGGGCAGAAAGGGGCAGGAAGAAGTGCCGCCCTGAGAGGAATATAGGACAGGCAGCAGGTTCTGTACTCATAATCTGTTCAGAGGTCACAGCCCCTCCCCTTTCAGTCAAGCCATGGAGCATGCATGTTAGTAAACTGAATAAAAAGTTTCTATGTTCTGTGAAAAGCCATGAAACTAAAGAAAACTCAGCTTCATTTTGGAAGGCAAGGGGTGGCTTTAAGGAGAACGGTCATTATTTGGTAGTGTTACCAGGATTGAGTGCAGGCATCAAATTGGAAGAGAAGCCAGAACTATGAGTGTTTGTATAGAAATATGTGTGAGTGGCCTGATACAGGCCAGGCCCGACAGAATATGCCCTCACCACTACTTCAGTTAGAACAGACCATCAGCTACCTCAGTACTCCATAGTTGCCTATTGTGTGACCCCCTTGAGTCCTTTTGGTAAGGCATTTTTTTCTAGATTTTATTTGGAGGCAGGTTTAGAAGGTACATATTTTTTGGAGGAAGTATGCCACTGGGGAAGGGCTTTGAAAGCACATGCATTTAGTCACCTTGTCACAATTTTGAAACCTTTCATTTAAGTGCTATGATACATACTAGTGCATGATAAAGCTTATTATCTAACTGGCTTCCGGGGTGGATTCAGCTGCACTGCCCCAGCTGCTCTCTGTAAACTCACCACACAGTGCTTATGTTACCTGCCAGTTTACCAGCCAAATGCTCATTGTTACACAAGCAGGTCGTGTCTCACCCCACCCCTTGTAAAACTGGTATCATGGTCAAGAAATATGCGCAGCTTATATGACCTGCAATCTTTGTAATTAGACTTGAAGGCCAGCAAGACGGCTTGGTGGAGTAAAGGCATTGCAACACAAGCCTGACAAGCTGATTTCCATCACCAGAACCTAAGTAAAGATGGAAGGAAACCTAATTACATGGAAGTAAAGATCCATGGAGATGTGTTCTCATCTCCAAACGCATGCATGCCCTCACACATTTTACACACAAAATAATGAAATAAAATTTTCAATAGAAAAAATGGACTTTGTAATAAGGCTTCCAGTGGAGAAAAGTTAAGGCTTTTTAAACTTTAAAAAGTCCTGGAGAGATGGCTCAGTGGTTAAGAGCACTCGCTGCTTTCCAGAGGACCTGAGTTTAGTTCTCAGCACCCACAGGGCAGCTCACAACCTGTAACTCCAACTCCAGGGGATCCACTTGTGGCCTCCTTGGGGATGGTACCTGCACATACATGTGCATATACATATATGCACTCGCACACATACACACACAAGAAGAATAAAGAGAAAACACTGAGTTTCTAAATTTAATAAAAAGAATTTAATGTTTCCTCAGCACCTTTCCTCCAGTTGGTGACAACTGAAAAGAAGTTTTGTTGCTGAAATGTTAGTGTAGAGTTACATTTACCTCTTTGACGGTGGGTGGGACCACAAAGCACACCTCTAGCCTAGCTTCCGATCTTGTACAATGGAGGTTGAGTTTATTTCCACATTTCGTCTTTAGAATGTCATTTGAGTATGTCAGTATATCATTACAGAACTAAAGCAGCATGGAAAACCTACCTGCTCGTCTCCAGGTAGCTGTCAAGTGCAATTGTGAAAGCGAAAAGATCAAATCATGGCTGTGTGTGGGTATTTTACTATATTCTATTAAAGGAGACAATTTGACTTAAATTGTCTACTCAAGAGAAATATTTTAGGCATTAGAATATATTTAAAATCTATGAAGCCTGAGGCAGTTGTGGTAGTATATACTTACAATTCTAGCAATTCAAGAGGATGGTGAGTTCAAGGCTAGCCTGTGCTACATCATGAGAGACCATACCCCCAAACAAAAACAAAAACCCTGGTTGTGGCGGCACACCCCTCTAATCCCAGCACTTGGGAGGCAGAGGCAAAAGGATCGCTGCACGTTTGAGGCATAGGAAGCTTCAGGCCAGCCAGGCACAAGTGAGACCTTCCCTGTATCAAACCAGTGGGAAACCTGTTGATGAGTGGATATAAAAGGTATTTCCCAAACCGACTTTTCTATTAAAAGGCGCCATCACTGATAGTGTCAGGAGGATATGACTGAAAAACACCTTCTTTAGCTCTGTGAGTGAGACAGTTGAGCTTTGGAGTCCAGCTCATTCAGAGGGACACAACACAGAATTTCTTTGGTCCTGCTCAACCAGTGGTCCTCCCGGACTTAACTTTGTATTCACTTGCCTTTCATCGAAGTGAGTAATCGCCTTGGATTTATAGAGGTTTAATGATTAAGCCTTCTCTAGCAGCATTTAATACATCACTCAAAAGAACAAGTCTTAACCGAGAAAGACAGGCTACCTCACTTTCACAGTACACTTAAGTCCAGGTAGTGAAAACATTAAGACACCTTCCACAAAGGCAGTTGAAACAGTGACGAGTCCAGTGCAGGCAGAGTTTGAAAAGTGATCACATCTGTCACATTCAGCTTGGCTGTCCTGTGACATAGTTTGAGTCTTTGGGAGTGGTTATTCCTTTTTATTAGTCATTTGGTTGTTGTGCAGCCACGGAAGGAAAAAGCTGAACATCAGGATCATCAACAACACACCTGAAAGACAGAACCCAGAGTCTTAGGTCGTGATCATGACCCATGATTGCTGCTCTGTTCCTCCTCAGTCCTTACAGAGATTGTGCGCCCAGTAGGACTAGGGTGTGCATGCACTGTGCATTCAGTGACACTGAGGCCAGGGTTAGAGGCTTTACTTCTGCTTCATTACAGACTTGGTGAGAAACCCTGGGCTTGAGTCATGTGTCCCTCTGCAAGGCGGCAGAGCTTCCTCCATGCCTCACAGGTGGCTTGGGAGGCAGGGGCTCGCAACATTGTGGTGTTTTTGTTGTTTTAAAGTAATGCAATCATAGATTAAGCAAAAGAAAAATCTCTGGAGTAGGTGGGACTCCAAGGGAGGAAACCATGATTGATAGCTAGCTCTCTTGGAATGTTTGCCCAGAATATCCAAATATGTATGATAGGCTCTTGCTCTTTCTTCATGAGCCCCGCCATAGTGGGTTTTACAGATGCATCATACACACACACACACAACCTAAAGCCAGTGCTTAAGTCTTTAAATACAGTTTAAAAGATTGCTTGCATATTAGTAATGCTTCAGTTTTGTGTTTGTTAGTTTTGTAATGGTGTGACTCAAATTTAGGCTTTGCATACACTAGACCAGCTGTGACCACTGAGTAGCAACTCCAACCCCAAATCTTCAATCTTTTTTTAATTTTCATAAATTACTTTTATTGTAAAGGCATTTCGCCTAATTAGCTGATGACTAAATGAAAGCAAGAAATGCTGGTAGCGTAAATACTGATAATAAATAAAATGCATATTATCATTAAAGTTATATTGTTGATCCCCCTTTAAAAGAATTTTTGTTTTTCTGATACTATTAGTAGAGCCTTGAGCATAGTGAGCAAGCCCTTCTTGGGCCACACCCCTACCCTGATCTAGATTGAATTCACATGAATGGGACTTCCGAGTCACTTAGAAGCTATGCTGATTGACTAAGTGTTGTTTTTGACAAATAAGGAAAGAGACCTAAATGATTAAATGACATTTGTTTCGAAACTCACAAATTTAGGGAAAATATTAACTAGCAAAACAAAATTGAATGATTGATTGATTTTATTATTTTAAGGTAAGTCTTGTGGTCTCAAACTCACTGTGTTTGAGGGTGACCTTGGACTTCTGATCCTCCTGCCTCCACCTCCCAGGCGCTGAGACTGCAGGCATCTACTGCCATACCCAGAGCTTTATGCAGGGGATGAACCCAGGGCTAGGCAGGCACAGCAGCACAGCCACATCCCCGGCTATTAAAAAATTATTGTGGTAGGCCGGGCGTTGGTGGCACCCAGCACTTGGGAGGCAGAGGCAGAGGCAGGTGGATCTCTGTGAGTTCAAGGCCAGCCTGGTCTACAGAGCGAGTTCCAGGACAGCCTCCAAAACAATACAGAGAAACCTTGTCTCGAAAAACCAAAAAAAAAAAAAATATTGTGGTGCTAGAAATAGAACCCAAGGACTTGTGTGTGCTGGGCGGAGTTCTCTTCCACTGAGCTGTATCCTCATCCCTTTTTTTTTTTTTTACATTATATTTTGGGACAATCAGTAAGTTGTCCAGGCTGGACTTAAAATTGCTTTGAAGCTCAAGCAGACCTTTCACTTGTAATCCTCCTGCCTCAGCCTCCTGAGTAACTAGAATTAGAGGCTACACACCAGGCCCAGGTAAAAGATTATTTTTGATTGGAAGTAATGTCCCTTCATTGCCTTCCTTAGTAGGGAAGCACCAAACTATATTTGCAGGTCTCTTTCAAAACAGCATTAGGAGCTGGGGAGTCGGCTCAGTGAGCTAGTGCTTGCTGTGTAACCATGAGGACCTGAATTTGGATCCCCAGCACCTGCATAAAAAAGGGTGTGGCAGCATGTGCTTTGTAAGCCGGGCACCTAGAAGTGGGAACAGAGATGGATAAATACTAAGCTCGCTGGTCAGCCAGTCAAGCTAAAACAGGAGAGCTCCGGGTACAGTGAAAATCTTAAAAATGAGAGTGACAGGCCCCAAAATCACCCTATAGCTTCCACATCTGCACACATACAGCTTCGAAGGACACTGCACAAAATAAAAATCCTTTCAAGCATGTTAACTAAGTTATTTTCTTTTCCTGTTTTCTTTTTGTCTCTTCTCTGGCTTTAGAAATTGACATAACATTCTTGTGGGTTTTTGTTGTTGGTGGTAGTTTTTGTTTTATTTTTTAGGTTTTCAAGACAAGGTTTCTCTGTGTAACATCCCTGGTTGTCCTAGAACTTGCTTTTGTAAACCAGCCTGCCTCTGCCTCCCTAGTGCTGGGATTAAAGGTGTGCATCACTTCTCTCAGCTCATATATCGTCATATTCTAAAATAAGATATTTTAAAATATTTAACCTTGGAGGCTAAAGAAATGACTTGTCAGTTAAGAGCACTGGTTGCTCTTCAGGGCAATTGGTTTAAATTCCGAGCGCCTACATGGCATCTCACACCCATCTGTAACTCCAGTTCCAGGGGATCCAAGAGCACTAGGCACACCAACAGTGCACACCCATGCATGCAAAATGCCCATACACATAAATTGTTTATCTTTAAATATCCTAACCCATAATAAATAGGAAATGCGCTTACCTAGAGAAGGAGCAAGCCAGTATACTACAAAAAACTGATAGAAGGATTCGTCAAAGCACGGGTAGTGCAGTGAAAGCGCCAGAGCCGGGTTAAACAGTGCTCCAGTGAGGCTCCCTCCTGCGGTAGCAACAGAGGCAAGAGATAGGGTCAAAAAGAAAACAGAGTGTAAAATAAACCAGAGCATTGCTATTGGGTCCGTTTTTACTCAGCAGAGTCCTTAAGTGAATGAATGGCAGAAATCAAGAAAGAAAGCAGTTATACAAATTAAGAAATAAGGGCCAAGGAGATAGCTTGGAGGGCAAGAGTGCTTGTTGTGGGAGTATGAAGGAAGACCTGAGTTCAAATCCCCAGATGGGTATGTGTCACATGTGCTCATAACTTCACATTGGGGAGTGGAAGCTTGGTGGCCAGCCAGCCTAGCCAAAATGGCCCACTGCAGATTTAGTGAGAGACCCTGTCTCAAGGGTTAGGGTGGAAAGTGATGAAAGTACACTCCACATCTTCTGGCTTCGTGACACACGCGCATGACACACAAAGCATTAAGAAGTGACTGGTGAAAGCACAAAGTCCATCAGTGGAGTAGACTCATGTTCCAGCTCTGCATTCCCTAGGGGTTTATGGTTCTTACCACACACCAGCAAAGGAAGGAAGGCTGGATGCCTGACCAACACTACTGCAGAGCTCACATTTCTCTTAGTTCTTCCAAGTGGAAGCTTCTTCACTCACATGGAGTCTGATACTGACATAGGCCTCTATAGAATGTTAAATGTCAACTGGAGTTGGGAATTGTGAGCTTTCTTAGGACTTACCTAGTTAATATTTCCCAGGCTGAGAACAGCAGCATTGAGAGGAAACTATTGAGCAATGGACTACATTCAACCGAATGACTGAGGTTTTCTCTAGCATACCAGCCTGACAGCACAATTGCTACTCATGCCTCAGCAGTTATAAAGGATGCCATCTGAGGACATCAGAATCATTCATGAACAGTCACCCTGGAATGTTAAACCTAATGAGATCTGCCTACCCTTAGCATTCAAGAGAATTGTTTGATTGGCAGCTGCTCATTTCAGTTTCCACAGAAACAAAAGTAAATTGAGTCCCTTTGTACTAAACACCATGGGCAGAAAGATAAGGACTCCCAGATCTTTGTAATGACTTAGATCATACAAGTGCCCTGCACTTAAAGGCATTCATCATTAGAAATGCTGAGCCATTGACCTCACAACGTGTTTGCTTCAGTACTGCAGGCCATGGCATGTGAAGACTGTCTAACATGAAATCTCTTATGTCCTAAAACTCAAGCTGTCCTCTTCAGAGCCTGTGGGAACTGTGGGTAGCTCTGACTTGACAAAGTACAGCAGAGGTCACGATGAGTTCTGAATACACAATTCCAAGTTGCTGTGTTGTTTGGAACCCTCACTTCTTTGCTCTCTTGGAACAAGGCCCTGAACCTTAAGTAGTAGTCTAGGCTTTTGGAGTATGAGAAGCTACATGGAGGGGAACCACGGTGCCCCAGATGACAAGCACCAGTGGCCAGGTGTGAGCTTTTGACCCCACTGCTGTCCTGCTGGAATGAAAGCAGCTGCACACTCGAGTGGTCGCAGAGGGTTTGCCATCTCACCCCAAAAATGCAACATCGCCTGGCTTCTTCACATGGCACCCTCCACACACAGATATTAGCAACTGGGTTCTTCACATGTGCAACACACACACACACACACACATCATTAGCAACTGGGTTCTTTCTTCTCATGTGCATCCCCACACCCCCACATGGATCATTAGCAACTGGGTTCTTCACACGTGTAACATACACACAGAGACAGACAGAGAAAGGGGGAGAGAGAGAGATCATTAAGCAACTGGATAGAAAGTATGAAGAATCACGAGGAATCATAAATATTATTTTAGAGTTGGAGATGGTGTGTTACATACCAACTGCTTTAACTAAAACAGTAATCCACATCAGTTGTGGCTTACATGTCAACAGAAACCCCACCCAGGGCATTTTGGTTGTTTAGAGGCTGTCCTGTGTACTGCAGTTAGTGACATCTTTGGCCCCTATCCACCAGATGCTAGCAGCCCACCCCTTCCCAACTTCGCAACTATCAAAACCTCAGTTATCACCAGATGTCCCCAGATGAGACTTCTGTCCTATAGTAACCCTGATATTTATGTAAAAGAAGACACATGTAAAAAGTTGTTCATTTTTAACAAAGAACTAGGGAAATCTAAATGTCCAGAAAGTTGGTTAGATGAGCAAACTTATTTGGAATAAATGCACTATTTTGAAGAAACCAGAGGATTTTTTATGAACATAAATCTCCAAGATAAACACCAAACAACTACATGAAAAAGAATACAGAGGATATGTTTTCATGCTTACATGAAATCATTATTCATAAACTATTACCTATATGTTCAATAAATAAATGAAAGCTAGAATGAAGCAAAGTTGAGGATTTTTTTTCTCTGTTTTTAGACAGTCCTATAGGAAAGGGCAGGGCACAATCTTAAGACAGGTGCCATATAGTGGTTTATTCACCCTGTGGCTTTCTCGAATGATGTCATGTACAGGAAAGTTCAAGGAGTAAGCAAAACTTAAAAATTCAGAGTTTAAAAGTAAAGTCAGGCCGGGCGGTGGTGGCGCACGCCTTTAATCCCAGCACTCGGGAGGCAGAGGCAGGCGGATCTTTGTGAGTTCGAGGCCAGGCTGGACCGACAGCCTCCAAAACAATACAGAGAAACCCTGTCTCGTAAAACCAAAAAAAAAAAAAAAAGTAAAGTCAGGTGTGCTGCTTGTCTTTGATGCCAGCACAGTTGGGCTCTTCCTGAGAAGTCAGGACCCTGTGTTGCCTCAGGTATGGATTCTCATTGGGAGGGACTCCTCCTCAGATGGCCGGCTGGTGGCTCTGTTGGGCTGTCTTCATGCTGCACTCACTGCTGACTAAGGGAGATGTGGAACTCGATTAGCAATCCTGCAAAAGTGGTCATGTTATACAGGGGACCCATGGGAAATCCCAAGGCAAAGGAATAAGGACAAAGACAACTTTTCCTTGTTTGCTTTATGCCAGGAAGAAGCTGCAATTCCTCTAAGGATAAGAAAACTGAGGAACAAATATTTAAGGGAACAGCCCAACTCACCCTGGCCTCTTAACTCCAAAATTAGACCAATACAGAAAAAAATTTGGAACCTTTGTTTATACTAGGTTTTGTTTGTGTTTATTTGGTGAGGGGGTGTGTCTGAGTACTTTAGCATTTATGTGGTGATGAGAGGACAAGTTTCAATGTGGTTATCCTTCTGCCATGTGGGCCCCAGGGATCAGACTCGGTTCATAAGGTTTGGTGGCAAGCCTCTTTACCCACTGAGCCATCTCACCAGAAACTAATTTTTATTTGTAAATTGATGATTGTATCCGTTTTATTTAGCTCCATTTTCTTTGACATGGCTGGAAGGATACTAAAAACCCAAAAGGAGTGATGGGATGGGGTGGGGTGGTTAGTTACTCGGTGGGATACCCTGCTGGGTTCTAGTTACACGGAAAGCATGTCTGATCTGTACACATAGCTTATCATGTGTAGAGGGAACATAGGCACTATGTCATAGACATGTATAATTTAAAATTCTGCACATGAGAAACAGTACAATAATAAAGACATCTTACATGTTTAACATTTTAAAAAAACCTAACTACACATAGAAAATGAATGCAATTCTCCATTACCTTCATTAACAGCTTATAGCCTGACAATTCCAGGCCTGGTGCTGCATGCGTGGTATCCCAGCTGTTCAGGAAGCAGAGGTTCAGCTAGCAAGATGATTCCGAAGCTGAAGCTTGACAACCCGAGTACAATCTGAGGGACCCACGTGGTGGAAGGGGAGATTTGACTCTCTCAAGTTGTCCTCAGACCTCTACATATGTGCTTTAGTATGCACACATATCCCCTACACACACACACACACACACACACACACACACACACACACACACGCTAAATAACTTTTTTAGAGAAACGAAGTTGAAGTGGAAGGATCAATTAAATTTGAGTTCAAGAGCAGCCTGGATGACAACATAGCAAGAGAAAACAAAAAGATAGTTTGTGGCTCTGCTTACCTCCATCACTTTTCTCTTTTGTTGGGAAAGCCAGTGAGTATATAGCCAGTAATGACAAGTGGCCTCTGCTTACATATGAAATTCGGTTTGGGGAAAGCATGTGCTTAGCATTCACTATAGGCTAGTTTCCAACCACAAAATGGGGTGCTAGGCAATGAATACACAATACTCAGCTGCTCAGATCGTATCAGGCCATTCTCTGTGGAACAGTTACAACTTACATCTGGAAAGTAATAGGAATGATAGCGTAAGTGTTTTCAAGGTGGTTCTTTTGGGCTAATCACTCTGGACCAAAGGACCTCATCCTGGCCCACATCCTCCTCTTGGAGTCTCATGCTACATAGGAGCAGAGTGATGTCTCTGTAAGACCTTCAAATTCCAAGCCTGTTTAATCCAGGGTTCAAGGACTCACTGGCAACAGAATCACTAATAATTAAAAATTTTTAATTTTCGTACACACGTCATAAAGAGTGCCATTTGCTGTTCTTTGTGTTCGCAGTGCCTTCTGGCCATCAGCACTGACTTTTCCCAACAGTATGCCAGCCCTAAAGTTTACAGTGTCTCCTTTTTCATCCCGTTTATGATAGGATCTTGTGTAGCCTAGGCTGGCCTCAAACTCACTACGCAGCCCAGGCTTACCTGAATTTGTCATCCTCTTGGCTTAGCTTTCCTAGTACTGGGGTTACAGACCTGAACCACCACGCCTGGCCCAAAGTTTTCAAAAAGTTTTTCAAACACAAATCCTGTACCTACTCAATAATACACCCCCACCCACTCTTTCTTCATCCTCTGCTCTAGTAACCTCTATTTACTTTCTCACTCTGAATTTGCCTGTTTTATGTATTTCCTAGAAGTAGAGTCACACAATATTAGTCCTTTTGTGTCTGACTTCTTCTGCTTAATATATGTCCATCCACGTGGTGTACAACAGAACTTCATTCCCTTTTATAGCCAAGTAGTATGTGATTGTGTACGCTTTTGCAAGTCTTGGGGAACACACTACAGAAATGCTGATAATGACATGAGTGTTAAACAGTGTGAGCCATGGTTCCAGCCTAGACTGTCTGCAACCCAAGGCCAGTCATTTCACTTCTGAGTGTCCCTTGCTTTCCTTAAAGTGGGAATAAAAATAATGTGCTCATCCGTGGGTAATTGTAAGAAATAAGATAGCTCGTAAATCTCTTAGCAGAGTGATTTGGTCTATAACAGGTACCCAAGGGGTACTCGTATGTAATAGATTGTGAATTTACGTAGCTTTATAACTAGTTGTGCATTTAGTTCCACCCCTGTAGTCTCAAGCCCTGTCCGATACTGTATAGCCACCAGCTACAGTGCAGTGTGGTGAGTGCATGTGAATGTGTCTACTGCCTGGCAAGTGCTGAAGCTTTAATCTAAATAGGCATGTGGAGCTAGTGGCTGCTGAGTTGGGCCAGGCAGGTTTGAACTCTAGAGCAGTGTTCACAACTGTGGTTTCATAATGGCATCACTGGGGAGAACTTTAAACTATGCCACTGCCGAGGCTCCTTCCCAGAGCAGTTAGATTCTAATAGCTGCACCAGATGGGCATGTTTTTAAAACTCCTCAGGTGATTTGAAAACAGATCGTTGAGAACCTCTGATGGCTTACCCTCGAGTGAGTGTTCACATTTCAAGAAACCGGCGGAGTTTCAGATCCTTAAACTGACAGTCTAGAGTCCTTGTTTGCTTTTCACTCGTGAACATCTTTAATGTCACTTCGCTTCTCTTTTGAATGGCATTTTTACCCCTTGGGCGCCAGGGCCATATACACACAGTAGGATGTAATTCTATCTTTGAACTACATTCTGAGCCCAGGAATAGTTAAAAGTATGTACATTATTTATGGAATCATAACTTGGTACTAAAAGCATAAAGATACAGAAAGAACACCAACTTCACAACAATCAACAAAGGCAGGAGTAGGCATTGGGAGTGAGAAAGATCAGGTATAATTAATGTCTTTCTTTTCCTTTTTAAATTATAAAACAATCTCAATTTTTTTTGTTTGCTTTTAGAGACAGGGTTTCATTTAGCCCAGACAGGCCTCAAACTCAGTGTGTAGCAGAAGATGACCTTAATCCTCCTGCCTCTGCCTCTCCGGTACTAGGGTTACAGGCACGAATCACCAGCCCAGCTCTTTGCTACTTCACTTGGCAAATACAAACTACTCTGTGGCATAATCCTGCTCATGCATAGCAGTGTTTCTGCTTTAGCTGAAACTCTTCACTGGCCCCTCAAATATACAAGTGCCCGACACAATGGATTTTCATGTGTTTCTACTAAAAAACTAGTATTAGATTCAAAGAAGGGAAAATTGTGTAATCCTTCAGGTTACCCTAAGGAAGTAAACACACACTTGAAGTATACATCTACTCAGTTTCAAGGAATTGTGTTTGTCACATTGGGGCCTGAACCCAGAACCTAATGAATGCCAGGAAGAGCTCTTTACTACTGAGCTACATTACCCATAGTTTAATTTTTAATGGGTAGAAGATAGGCTGTTACTGTAAGTTTCCTTCATCCATGCCTCTAGAACGTTTTTTTTATAATTCCACTATAATCCCAGTAATTTCATTATTTTAAATGATACACTAAGACACATCTTATCATTAAACAATTTTTGAATTCCTAATGCAGCTGAGGTTTGTCAAGGTAAATAAGTATATAAGACTTCTGGAGAGGTTTTTTTTTCTGGTTTTTGTTTTGTTTTATTTTCCTTAGACTGGGTTTCAGTATTTAGTACTGTCTGGCCTTGAATTTACCATTATCCTCCTGCCTCTGCCTCCTGAGTGCTGGGATTAAAGGCAAGTGCCACCACACCTAGTTGAGAATTATTTGTTTTTAAAGAGCATCTTCAAGCACATTTTAATTTTGAAACACACCTTCCATGAGAGGCTACTTAAAAGTTCGCGTCCGACTCAACGTAAGGACATATGACAAGTAATTTGTAGGAAATGCAACTGCAGAGTTTCTGCTCCCCTCTTTTAACTACTAAGCAATCGTGCATTCTAAGTGGGAAGGAACTTTAGCACGGGATCATTTCTCAGTAAGGGTGTCAAAAGCAATCTATACCACCTTGGCATGAGAGCAGTAACTGATAAGCGGCCTTACTGACATTAAAACAGCCCCTTTGTAGGCTATCTAAAGCCCTTGGCAGTAATCTAACAAGATCTTAGTTTCGGCACCGGAGTGTCTGCTTTCTCTGGAAGTTTAAAACAGTACTGAATGAATATGTTGACTGCTGCTAGGCATTGGCTGCAAAATAGAATAATTAGGTGCCCGGGAGGAGGGTGCAAGTATTCCCATCATATTGGAGTAGGGGGCTCAAATGTATCGGTAAAGAACTTGGAACCTCGGGTCGCAGAGGCTCGGTACTGCCTAGTGTTTTGTGGGAATGACAAACCTGCATAGGCCAAAAAGGTGATGAGTGCAGCCAGCAAGTGGATGCGAAGCTTGGTTCGGACCTCCTGGAAGTGCAGTAGAGCGCTGTGGAAAATAAAGGAGCAGATGGCTTCCGTGATGATCGCTTTGGACATGTCCGTGTGGATGGGATTCTTGCAAGCTAAGCTCCTCTCAATGAAGTGGTACTTGGTCAGACTAAGGCTCCAAAGGGCACTTACGCAGTACCTGCTGCATAGGGCGCTAACCAGCTGAGCCAACAACCTCATGGCACCGGTCTCGGGGGACATACCCCCTAGAATCATCTGCATCAACACGCCGCACGGGTTGCTAGCTGTGCCCACCAGAGTCAGACCATGCACCAAGGAAAAAAAGTAGATCAGTGTCAGCGTCCAAGTGGGGTGCGCGGTTTCCTTCTCGCTCAGCAGTTGGAGCTCATGGGTGCAGCAGCAGAGCTGGAAGGTGGCTAGAAACTCCAGGACGAAGGCGTGGGCCATGGGCCTGTGCAGCTGTTGCCGGGCGATCACGCGGGCCAGCCCCATGAGCAGAACGACCAACAGCATCAGCCCCAGCGAGGTGCAGGTGTCCTGCACCTCGGGCCGGAGCCCCAGTAGCGCGGACATGGCTCCCTCAGAGCCAGGGATAGATAGCTGAGGGCGTCAGGGATAGCCGAGCGTTGGGGGCTGGAGTCCGAAGTCCGCAGCCCCGCCTTCCCACGCCCCTCAGGGCGGGCCGAGCCGAGAGCCCCGGTTCCGCGCTGGAGGGCTCCTCCCCTCCCCGGCTGCACTGTGGAGATGTGACCGGAGCCGGGGAGGGGAGGGGAGGCGAGGCGGCAAGGGAGCTGTCCCTGAGCACCGGCGGAGGGGCAACGGTCAGCAGAGCCCCACGCGTACCCGCCCTCGGTCACCTCCCTAGCCTGGGGCCGCTGCCCGAGACCACTGCGCACGCGCGCGGCGTGCAGCCTCTGGGTTTCAGGCGACCCGACCCGAGCCTAAGACTTCGCGGCGCTAGTCGTCGCGCCTGTTGCACCCGGAGCAAGGCTTGGGAACAAACATCACCTTGAACTTTGTGCATTCCGGAAACTGTACTTCCCGGAGCCCCAAAGTTCATCTCTGCAACCACCCCGTTTTTACTAGACTGAGGTTGAGGAGCAAGAAGGTGCCCTTCAGGGAAGGAACTGTGTTCAACTGGGAGTGGTTGTGAGAACCGAGGTTTGATCTGTGCTACAGGGTGTTGGAGCTTTGATTTTCTTCACCTACCCCAAAACTGTTTTCGTAAGTGTGCAATATATATATTATATATGTACATACACATATGTATGCATACATGTATCATACATGTATGCATACATATATGTGTATATATATATACACATTTTATGTGTGCAATTGATTGTTAATTATATTGACACTAGTATCCAGATATCACTATTTCCAGATTTTGAATGTCGGTTCTCGTTTCTTTATTTTTATCACATGCATTTGATTAATTACTTAATTATTTTATTTGTTTTTATATTTATATACAAATACACTTATGGGAACACTGTGCCGCATCTTTGTGCGGCCCAACAATCACCTGCAGTAGTTCTCTAACTTTCTCCTCCCACAAGGTGGGTCCCAGGGATCAAATTCAGGTCCTCAGGAAGCACCTTTGCCCGCTGAAGCATCTTGCCTGTGGGTAGTGGTTCTTAGATATGAAATCGTCTAAGTTTATAATGGCTTTGCAATGTTCACTGTGAAATATTAAAATACTTAGAAAACAGTTTTTTACTTATTCACATTGGCGTCCATTGGGGGAAGGAAACCCGGAGTGAAACCCCGGGGAGTTTGGTTTCCTGACTCACTCTGAGGCAGGAAGGAAAGAAGGGCGTTAATGGAGCCACGGGAAGGTTGCTAGCCTGGAGTTGAAGTCCTGCACCAGTTGAGAGTCAAGAATTTCCTCACAGTAACATCTGTTGTGAAATTAGCCTGTAGAGATATTTCAAAGAATCTTAAAGTAGTGCTGTGGGTGAATTTGTGAGGCGACCTTCCTCCTCGTGTGGTCTTTGCGACTTCCACCATGGCAGAGCCAGAAGGCGCAGAAGCTGATGGTACAGCCAGCCAACTCCATCTTCAGATGCTCAAAAGGCAGATCTCGGCAGATCTCGGGTTCCAGTGAGCTGTGAGCAGGTAGAGGGCTGTGGTTATGAGTTTGCTGAGTACTTGAACCTCGTATTAGTTGATGCAGGTGAGATTCATTCTATAAACACGTTAAGGAAACAACTGGGGTGGATCATGATAAAAGAAATTATCACTCTGCCCCAAGGTGTTTCCAACTTGAAATTGTCAAGGACAGGAGAAATTAAGAAGGCACACAGTGTTTTTAAAGGTATCTTCTGATGGGAGCACAGTCTGCAACTTAGTCATATTGTTTTGGTGGCCCTTATGTTACCATGTGACAATAAAGTCTATGAGATTGTTTTTGTTACCAAAAAGGAAAAAAAGAATGTTAAAATATGGATGCCCCATACTTAGGGACTAAGCAAATATAACCTCTCTCCAATCCTAACTGTAAACCTATAATTTTCTAGTTATCTCATGAGAAACTCCACTTAGTGAAAGATATATCTTATCTCCCTTGCATAACCTTTGTGACACAGGGTTTTACCTCATCAGATTGAAGTTCTATCCAAGACATCTCATGAACCCCTCTGTAGTCATATTTACCAAAAGGGGCAGATGTGTGTGTAAGGAAGGAGTTCTTTCTTACACTTGGAGCAATGGAATTCCAAAAGCCTCTAAAATCAACATGAAGTTGTGTGAGCCACTTAACTACAGTTCTTGAGAAGCCCACACTCACATTTGGCTGCCAACAGTCCTTTCCTTGAATGCCTTCCCGCTGATCCCTGAACTTAAGTCTGTGTGTAAACAAAATCTCTTCATTATAAACTCCAACTCGCTTCACACCAACTCATCCTGAGGTTCTCTTCTGCTTTGAAGAATCCATGTTTGAGCCTGTGTGATAGGACACACCAGAATCTCAGTCAAAGCAGACAGATTTCTGTGAGTTCAAGGCCAGCCTGGTCCACACAGAGAAACCCTGCACCACAAGTCATTCTGGTTTCATCCAAGCAGGGTCTCTGGAAAGAAGCCCTTAGGCTTCCACAATCAGCACACTGCTAACAATGTGACCTCTGATTGCTTTCAGAAATATGAAAACGCCTTAGCACAGAGCAAGACGTATTTAGTGAGTGGTAGCTTGAAATTGAAAGTTCCTGTTTTAACAACCTGAGTCCAAGAGTCCATGCCAACACCACACTGCCAACAACTCACCCCCTTGGGCGGTCCACAGTGAGCGAAGGAGTGGACGAGAACTCCTCTTGTACCTAGCAATGTTCTGAGCTCATGCAAGGTTGCCATGCTCGGCTGAGTTAGGAGGTTGCACATGGCTAAGTACCTACCATCCTGCCTCAGTCTTGTCCCACATGGCTCTATCACCCACAATCCCACAGTACATAGAACTGAGAGGGGCAGGGTTGGATAGTGCAGGTGGGGGTGGGGGAAGGGTGGGTGGATGAGCTGTTACCCTACCATGATGGTGACTGACATAGGAGGATTGCCTCAAATTTGAAGGAAAATTCCCTTGCAATGCTAAGATTCTGTGTTGCCAATAGAAAAAAAAAGTTATTTCATAAAATAAAAATTATGTAGAGAAATGAAGCCCTTTCTCTTTCCTGCATCTATGCCTGAGCAAAAGAATTTAGGGTAAGTTAAAGGCATTTCTTAGCCACTGCTGTTGGAAGAGATTGCTTTAACACCAACTCTGAGTGGAGTAGTTATGCTAATGTACCCATGTCCTGGTATGCTAATATGTCACTTTTGCTAGTAAAAGCCATATAGAAAACCTGCCTTTTAGACTTTGGTAAGGATTTAAAAATCATCACCATATACTTTGTCATTAAATGGACTTTGAACATTGTTTCAATTAAGAAATAAGAGCCAAATAAACTTGGAAGATTAGGCTGTGCCCTGCTCTGAGTTATTATGTATTGTGTAAAACAGTGGCTTTCAGGCTGTGCTTTGCCCCATGTGACTGCTTTTCACAAGCTCCATTTGAATACTTTTTGTTTGTTTTGTTTTTCCAGACAGGGTTTCTCTCTCTCTCTCTCTCTCTTTTTTTTTTTTTTGGTTTTTCGAGACAGGGTTTCTCTGTGGCTTTGGAGGCTGTCCTGGAACTAGCTCTTGTAGACCAGGCTGGCCTCGAACTCACAAGAGATCCGCCTGCCTCTGCCTCCCGAGTGCTGGGATAAAAGGCGTGCGCCACCAATGCCCGGCTCAGGGTTTCTCTCTTTAACAGCCCTGGCTGTCCTGGAACTTAACTTTGTAGACCAGGCTGGCCTTGAACTCACAGAGATCCACCTACTTCTGCCTCCTAAGTGCTGGGATTAAAGGCTTGTGCCACCACTGCCCAGCCGGGTACATTTTGAGTACAAATAAAGAGGTAAATGGCTCTGTATCTTGTGCACACAGACCTGCCCATCCCCATGAGGCATAGACTGACAATTGTCTTTGAAATATTTACTTTTATGCAATGAGTGTCTGTGTGTATGTGCATCACGAGCATGTGGAGGCCAAATAAGGCCCCAGATGCGCTAGAACTGGAGTTATGGATGGCTGTAACCTCCACGTGGTGCTGGGCACGAAGCCCGCATCCTCAGCAAAAACAGGAAGGATGTTTAACCACAGAGCCATTTTTCTGAACCCTAAGAATTCATTAATTTTTCTGATTTTTTTTGAGACAGGGTCTCTCTATTATGCAGTCCTGACTATCTTGGAAATGTTATGTAGACCAGGTTGGCTTCAAACTCACAGAGATCCACCTGCCTCTGACTCCCAGGTGCTGGGATTAAGGTGCCACCACCGCCTGGCCTACTCACTTATTTTTTTTCCCCGAGACAGGGTTTCTCTGTAGATTTGGAACCTATCCTGGCACTTGCTCTGTAGCCCAGGCTGTTCTCGAACTCAGAGATCCTCCTGCCTCTGCTTCCCGAGTGCTGAGATTAAAGGCGTGCGCCACCAATGCCTGGTTCTACTCACTTATTCTTAAAAGATATCAGCTATAAAAAAAAGTAAAGCGGGAACATATTAGTATGTGGGCTAATACCAGAAAGGTGGCTCTCAGATGTTTCAGTGGGCTCACACTGCCTGTAACTCCAGTTCTAGGGGTTCACACACCGTTTCCTGCCTTCTGCTGGCAGCTACACACACACGGCACACATACAATACACACACACAGGCCCACACACACTACACATAAAAAATAAGTCTTTACTATAGAAAAACCAGGCTCTAGAATTTATCAAACATATCAGTCTGACAGAAGGTAGAACACCTCAAACCCTGGAAAAAGGAGGACACCTAACGTTGCTATGGCAACGGCCCCATCATCCTATCATCTGACTGTGTAGTGTGTGTTTCCAGGGACTGGCAGGCACAGAACTTACCTCTCCCAAGCTTCACCACAGCTTGGTGCCCCGTGCTTGACGCAGCCCACTAGTACTGCTGTCTGTCTACCTCTCCATCTATCATTTGTCTGGACCTAGTCCTGGACGTGGCCTTCATGGTTCTGTCTCTAGACAGCTCAGTTTTGTTGCTCTCCAGGCCGGTTTTGTAGCATTTTATCTAGCTACCTCCAGCGACTGCCGGTATCGGCTCTGTACCTCTACTTCTTGTAAGGCCTCTTTGATGAACTGGGGCTCTTTTAAGTCCTTTGTAACCATTTTATAACCTATGTGTATGTATACATATGTGTATATATATATATCAATTACTGTGATGTTTAATTGTGATCTGAGAGTTAATAATAGTAATTAACATCGATTATAACAGGCAGGGTCGTAT